AGGCACCGGCCCACCACGCAGCCCCTCCGCTCCTGGCCCGGCCCCTCAGGTGTCAGGGAAGGGGAGGAGGAAGCCCCATAACCCCCCTCCCCACACCCCCCACCACAGGAGAGCGCGCCGCGGCCGTTAGAGCCGTTACAGCCCCCTCACACTGAGGCGCCTCGCGTGAGCTGAGGCGGGAACAGGGGGAAAAGGCGGGAACGGGCTCCCACAGGAGGCCAGAAGCGCTGCAGATGGGTTCGGGGCTGCGTGGTGGGCCGGTGCCTGCACGCGGAGACCCATCCGGGGAAGCGGCGAGTTTCTGAAGGAGCCCCTCAGTCGGGTTTTCTTAAATCTAGTGCAGGCGATGGCAGCGCGAAACCTTATTGTGCCGATATTTAAGCCTGAATTGAGGTAACAGTTACCTAAAGTATGCTTGTTTGGTTGTTTGGGTTTTTTTTTCTTTTTAAAAGCAGACTTGAAGTTTTCTAGATAGTCCCTAGTTTTTACAGCTCACCATAAAGACTCCGGTACAGGAGAAACGAAATTAATTGAATTAATAACTTTTCCCCTGCTGTGAAGGTGTTCCACGGATATTTCTGTGGAAGGTACCCCTCAGTAGGATAGGACATCAGAGGTCACACTGTGGCTGGCATGGAGAATGCCAATATATACAATATATACAAGTCCTGCTGCTACACTGTCTCTAGCAATAAAAAAACTAGAGACATATCAAACGTTGCTTACAGGAGCCAAGACCAAAACAAAATCAGGTGGTTCATCTGGTGCTACAGTATTGTGGAATTCCTTGCCGAAGGGTGTAGAGACAAAAAGAATTTCGGAGACACTGCAGAGGGATTGGAGGAAAGATCAGTTTACCGACAGGCAAACCACACTAGGTTAAAGGAATCCACCAACCCAGATGTAACTGAAGGCAGAGACCACTTGGCAGAGCTATATGCCCTGCACACACACCTTTCCCTGTGGCATCTGTTTATCCTCACTTTGGGTGACCATAGGCTAACTGAACCTTTGCTCTGAATAACTGTGGTTATGCTTATGTGCCTCCTAAAGTTTCCTAGGTATCTGGTAAGGGCAAGCACCTCACTGGGAATATCTCTGTATTTTTCAAAAAAATGCTGAGAGTTCCATCCCATTATTAAATTTTAGCCAGAGAAATTAGTCTGTTCTAAAGTTCTGGGCAAAGAGAATGACTGGAAACCAAATTAGCCATAATCTAGGAAAAAACCCCAAACATTATAAGGTCTCACAAAAAACAGGAGTCCTACATTTGAGATGGGAAATAAGAAATCTTAAAAAATTGAAGGGGCTGGTGGATAGAAAAGGCTTCCTTTGCCTTTAGGGCTTTATGTGATAAAAGGGGATGGCATCTGTTGGTTTTTTTTGTTTTGGTTTGGTTTTTTACACATTGATTCTTTAGTTGCCGCAATTTTAGAATTAATTTCTGGTTTATGTTTGGCTTAAGATGTCTTAGCTGCTCTTCTCCACTCAGTAAAGAATAACATGTCATGGAATGCACTTTATCAAAGATAAAACTCTGGGCAAAAGCTCCGCATACTTTTGCCAGAACTCTTTGACTTCAAGTTTTTCTAGAAAGTACAGAAGTTTTTCCCTGAGTTGGGGGTCTTTTTGGATTGGTCTTGCAATTCTGATGTGCCTTTAAGACAAACATGTATCCTAATCTCATTTAGATTCTAAATATGCACTGACTGTGCAGTTGATTCCTTTTATTGTTGAATTGCTGAATTATGTTTATTCTAAGTTTTTTTCCTTTTCCTTTTTAAATTTTAGAATTACCCAGCATGTCTTCACTAACAGAAAAGGACAGACCAATTGTTCAGCTGTTACTGAACACTGGCACTTGCCCACGATGTATTTTGAGGTTCTGCTGCGTGGGATCACAGGCACTGTATAGACATCCATACAAGGTTGGTTCTTTGTATTCTTAATTAGAATGTGTGAACATATGAATGCTGTGCACTACCTTGGAGGAGAAGGTTGTTGTAATCTTGGGCTTTTTTTGCCTGAGAGGAGAGCACTTTGCAAAATTATTTACAAAAAATGACTTCTGCTATACTGTGCAATTTTGAGAAGTTACAAGAATCATAGAATGTGACACTGTTGTGGGTTAAATGTTAAATTTAACTGTGAAAGTTGCTTTCTATTCCCTAAAAACCCTAGAAAATGGGGCATGTTAGCTTCTCCACAACATGGCTCTATCACTTTTGAAGCAGAGCAGCTATGATTGTTCCCTCTTCTCTTTCCTTTACTGTAATAAATAGTAAATTGGCTGTGGGCAGTGCACTGATGCAGAGGAGAAACTATCTATGATCCAAACTTTATTGCCTCATGCTTCTTTCATCTTCGAGTAGAATTGGTAGGGAGATGTAATTGAAGAATTGTGGAGCACAGATTGAAAGGATAAACCTTCCTTTTTTAATGAGTCAACACAGTGTTATTAGGCATCCTGTTTAGCTGACTTGAGTGCTGAAATTCAGTGTTCTTCAGTTTTTTTCTAGCTGTGCACAATCATTCTTGCCTTTGTTCTTGTATTTCTCATACTCCTAAACTTGGTTTTGGCAATTCGTTTCTCCTCCGTATTGGTTCTTTGAGACCTCTCTCATTGTGTAGGCCAGCTAAACACCTCCATTTACTTGGTCTAATCTCTTGTCTTTATGCTTGCGTCTTCTGGTGTCTGTCTTGATTGTTTCACCTTTGTTCAAGTTCAGACTCTGCCAGGATTAATTTTTAAAATCTTTCTTCCTTTTCTATTTTCTGTGAATCATTTGAGATGTGTTCATTCTGTATGCCATCTTTTATTCTTTTGCATCTCTATCTAATTTTCCTCTGAGCTACAACAACACAGTGACTGCTGTCTTTGTTACTAAAGACCTTTTAATAAATCTTGCTGTCTGAACTATGTCTTGCCTCTATCATCCTTCCTAAAATTCAGAGACAATCAGGTAATTCTTCTCTCTCCTCACCTGCACACCCTTTAATTTTTGTAGGCTTCTCTCTTTATGTGAAGTTCTCTCTCTGTGTATTTAATTTCACCCTCACCTGTATCTGCTCTCATTTTCTTCCCATATACTAGCCAACTGTTTTTCTAGTCATCTGGGCAAATGGAGTTGGAGAAATTAAATTCTGACATAATCTAAATGACAAAAATGCAGTAAACATCTATTTTCATTGAATAGCAATGGGCCAAAGATAAATGCATTTCTACAAGTCAGGTCTGTAAAATATTTCCACTCTTCTTGGATGATAAAGAAGTCTGTGCAGCAAAAATCAGTTTCTCTGAATAACACTTTGAGAGAAATAGTGCTTGGAGCTTTTTATTAGTGTAAGTATCTTTGTGTATAAATTCCAAGTTATTCATTACATAGACTGAGGGTAAATTGGAGTGGTTAGTGCTGCCTTTTAGAATCGTGTTAGTAAGGGCTTGTTACAGCATTGGAGAAAAGAGGAGAAAACAACACTATGATTCCTCTGTTTGTGTTAGGATTTGATGAAGGATTTAAAAGAATTTCTGAAAAATAATCAAGAAGAAGAAGATACGGTTTGTTCTGATGTAGTTGATCCACCTTGTAAGAGAATCAGACTTGAACACACGGAAGAAGGGCCTGATGATCTGAACCACAATGGAGCCCTCCAGCAGATTCCTTTGGTTAACGATAAAAATGCTGCAATGGAGAACTCACCTGTAAAGGTTTGCAATGTGTGTTTGGGAATTCTTCAGGAGTTCTGCGAGGTTGAATTTGTTAAAAAGGTAAAATACCTGTGCTCAGTATTTCTGTGTACTTTTTCTGGAGCTTGTGTATGTATAGGTCCTATGGTATAGAGCTGGTGATTCAAAACACCATGCAGTTAAACAATTGAGGGAAAAATACCAGAAAACAAACTGAAACGTTTACTTATTTTGATTATTTGAAGTGTAGATGGCGCCATTCAACTGTGTACCGCTCACTGAGCTCACTGACTGTTTGCATACGTCCTGCACAGCCGGGAAATAAAACATGTCAGTGTTGTTTGTTTTGGTTTGGTTTGGTTTTTACCCAAGCCTTGTCATAATGTAACTTTTTAAAAAAATAGCAGTGCAGGTGCAATGGAATGTCTGCCAGGAGCATATTTTTTTAAGAAAAGGACTATCAGATACATGGTTACATGAATTTAGGAGATAACCTGAGGTTCAGCTGCTTAGATTACAAGGAAAACCTCACTGTAAACGATGACCTCTCTTTGCTTCTCTTATGTGAAGGGAAAACAAGGAGGCATCAGCTGCTGTGCTCTTCAGCTTAACTACATATTCCTAATATAACATGAGTCTGTCTTTACAAGGTACCCTATTTCAAAACCCACAGAGGAAGAAAATGTTTTGGTGATACAACAGATTGTAGATAATGGAGAAAATAAGAGTTAGGAGAGAATACAGGCATAATGAGTGTTGCAAACATCATCTCTGAGCAATAAAATTGCTTGCGTGACAAACTGAAATATCAGCTAGAAGAATCACCCTTGCATTTGAGATGTTTAACAGTTTCAACAGAACAGGATTTGGTTTAATAGCATTAATATATCTAAAAATGGGACTAAATAGAAAGCGTAGTATATAATTTCTGTTGTTGCAGCGCATGATGTTTCTTTTTTGTTTCCATGGGCAGAGTATGTGTATTTTTACAGAATCCACTTGTAAGACTTGTTTCAGTTACTCTCTTGAGTAGCAATGAAAAATCTGACAACATTTGTTAAGGCTTCACAAAACCTGATTATTTTGTAAGGAAACCTGAGATGTTGATTTCACCTTGTGAGCTCATAATTTGTCTTCAACATTCAGTAAAATCACTGACATTTTAGATGGCTGCTCCACATGTGTTTAATCTTACTTCCAATAGGGACATTTAGCCATCAGTGCTTGCTAGCCTACTTTAAAGTGGTCAGTGTGTGTTCAGGTTCTTACTTTATTTCCATTGACAAATTATTTTTTATGATGAAGAGTGATTATGAATTAATACTGTGGATACCTGTTTGTTCCCATCTTATCCTAGGTATTAAACCTTTTTATTCTCGTGGAGTTGTATCACTGCTATAAAGAAAGACATTCCGAGTCAGCTTAGTGAAATTTGTTGTGCTAAGATTTCAGTATACAATTGCTCTTAGCCTTAAAATAGCAAGTCTGGTGTTTCATAGGAATAAGGATTTATTAAAGGTTATTAGTAACTTTTTTTTAACTGAACAAAAAAGTTTATATTTCAGTCAGTTGTTAGAGATTACTCCAGTTTGTATGTTTGGCATCTATCTGAATGTGTATTAACATGGATTTACAGTGATTATGCTGGAGTAAAGAATATCCTAAAAAATTATCAACTCAATTCCATTGCTGTGGTTTAATATTAAAATCCTTTCTTTATAGGTGTGCCAAAAGGTTAATTCCGCTGACTACCAGTTCACTAGTTTTGTATTTTCTGTGTCACTACCCCCACAGCTGTCTGTTAGGGAGGTAAGTGTTTACAGATATTTCTTCATAACTGAAATACATGTTAGAGAAAGTAACTGTGGAATGTACAAGCTGGAGGTGGTTTGATTTTTAATTGCTATTATTTAAAAAAACCCCTAAAAACACATGCTAGAAGTGAAGTCTGCTCTCCCCTTCCTTGTTGGTATTATTTTAATTAATAAAGCGTCTGAGTTGCTTCAATTTTTAGTTAGCCCAGGAGTTACTTTACATCTGAAAATCTAAAAGGAGTTTCTTTAAACCCTCGGTGTATTGCTCCCTTTGGTATGGATGCCAGCTCTGCTTTGTGGATCTTCTCAGAGAAGAAACTGCACAGCTGGTGCCTTTCCTGAAATAAATGATAATTGCTAGTGCCGAATACAAATGAAGGAATTTGAAGATGAACTCTTTAACTGTTCAGCTTTTTAAGTGATGTGAAAATACGCGTTTTAATAGTCACCTGTCTTGGGCATTGTTGAAAGTCTCGATTTGTAAAACTACAGTTTATAGCAGTTATAAAACTACTGATTTTGATGGCAGTTTTAATCAAACGTAAATTGTTTACATTTCAGTCATTTAATCATAGAGGATAATGATAATACAGAGGAGTGTATAACCCTGGTGTTATTTTTGTTTTTTTAAATTGAGGGAGAATACTAAGCATAGTGTAACTTGATCAGTAAAGCAACAATTTTTGCTTAGCTGTGAGGTGTTTTATGATGTTCCCCTGCTTTCTGATATAAAGTGATGCAAAAATATTCTTCTAAAGGGCAACACTTAAATCTTTGTGATAGATGCCTGCTGTGGTAAGATGTAGTAGAAGCTTCAGTGAACATGGCAGAAAGAAGTGTAGGTGATCTTGGATTTATATATAAACCCATGGTCTATTCTCCTCCCACAGTTTGTTAAATAATCTACTACACTTCTAGTGTTGATTTGTACTGTTAGTTGTGGCATCTCGGGCAAATGCCAGTGTAAGAGCTACATTGTGCTAACATATGTTCTACTTCTAAGTCTTCTTGAACATAAGATTCTCTCCTTCCCATCTGAAATGAAGCAGAGTTGGTGTGTTTGCTTCAGCTGTCACTGTGTCTGGTAAAATAATGCCAGAATAAATTGCTTTGTGCTTTCTGGTTGGATGAACTGCCCTTATTCCCATTTGATTTTATTGTCATCCAAACAGTGAGATATGTCAAAAAAAGCACTAGGCTAGGTGAGTATAGAAACACACGTACGTGTGCCCACGATGCTCTGTAAAACTCCAAATGTCGGTCAAACTCACTCCAACTTTATGCACAGTGTAAGCTTAAATGGTTACAAAAAAAAAAAAAAGAAAGAGCCTAGCTTTAAAATTACCTTTTTTTTTTTTTTTTTTAATCCCATAGCATAGCTATGTAATGATGGAGGTGAGGAAAGAAAAATTTGATGCTGCTCTTCTTCCTCACCCTCTTAGTGGTCTTTGCCAGAATGCCTCGGTAGAGGGTGTTATTGCATTGCAGTTCTAGCTCAGTGATGTTCTCACACTAATCTGAACAAGCAGGGCAAGTGTTTCTGTCTGCTTTTGAGGCAGCCTTGGCCGTAAATGGAAGCAAAAAATAATATTTTGCTTCAGAGAGTTCCTTTTGCTGATTGAAATGTTGATGATACACCAAGACTGTGTGCACTGGAAAAACCGTCTTGGCAAATGCAGTTGGTAGAAACCCAGATTTATTACTTTATTATAACTTTCTCTTTTAAGTGCAGTAAATTATTAGTTTGATAAAAGGGATGAGATGTCATTTTTAACCTGTCCACCTGCTTCATTCGAGGTATCTTGTCCTTATGTTCAAGCAAACAAACAATACTACAGTGCTTGGTACAACCAAGGGAATAAAATTGTGGTGTGAGTTCAGAAATCAATAGGTGAAATGGGATGAGTGAGTAGGAAGCTCTAAAACCAGATCTGTTCTCTTTGGAAACAGTTTTGGTTTGTCTGGGAGCAGATCTGCATTAGGAAGTTCCTGCTGTCCTTCTATTCCATCCCCATCTTGCCAAATGTTAAACAAGCTGTTCGTGTGGCTGTGCTCTAACTGAAGGGTTGAAAATGGTGGTGGTGGAGAAAGAACCTGTTTAAAATCATGGGGGTTTATTTACCACCTTTCTGTTTATCACTTCAGAAAAGAATTGGTAAAAACCGTTCCTGTTTTACAGTTACAGAAAAGCAGGAAGTAATATAATATTTCAAAATATCTCAAATATCTCAAAATGCTTTCTGTTGAAAAGAGGTCTTTTGTTAAATTCTGCTTTCGATTCTTTGAACTGCACTGTACAAGAATATAGGTAATTTTAGCATAAAAGGACACCCCAAAGACAGCCTCCCTCCCATTGACCTTTTGTATGACACACAGCTTTTCTTTGACTTATTTTTAACAAAAAAATCAGAAACTACCTTTTAATATTGCCTTCTGCTAATTTAATGATGACAATTGTCATCCTGCCAAGTCTAAAATGTACAATAGAAGAGTGGCACATAAAATTTACATTGGTGTAGTATTTGTATCTGCAATACAAAGAAGCTATCAACCCTTTCCACAAGTAGGATACTTGATTAAAATAAATTCTAAATAAATGAGTCCAAAGTTTATGTCAGACAACTGTATTAGAATATGAAGTGAGTCATGCCCTTCAAAAGGGTGACTGTTAGCTACGTCTGTAGTCTCAGTTGTGATCCATCATCCTGGTACTTGCTACAAGGACATGAATGCAAATAGCATCTGTAGTCATTACTCCCTGTAGGACTGTGTGTACCTCATCATGGAATTCCCCATCTCTGAGCTCTTTTCTAATACAGTGAAAAAAAGCTGTGGCTGGGATTGCACATGGTATTTCAACTGTTGCCACTGTGATCCCTCAAATAGCATTAGAATAATATCCTGCAGCTGGTAATCAATATAGTGCTTGAGCCAGTGTATTTTAGAAATATATTTGCTGTTAAGCGTTGCCCTGCAGGCTTGAGCTCTGTAATGAGCATTTTTCATTTCCAAACCACTTCACAAACATAAAGTAATTATGAAGTAGAGGGATCTGATCCCCTGCTTCACATACAGCTGGGAGAGAGTGGAGCAGGGGAATGAAGGCATAGGAGTTGAGGGGTTTTGCTGGCTTGGTGCTTGAATGTGGTTTGGAATTTGGGATCTTTTGGCTCCTGTGCTCACAGTACCCTATTCTATTGTTTCCCCTTAATTGAAGGAGAAAAGTAATTTCTTGAATTCTCTTTCAATTTTGAAGTCAAGAGAGAGGAGATGATATTTGGCCTGTGGTCTCATTTTAGCATAGCTACTTAGATCCAGAAGTTTTCTCTATTTTGTAATAGTACCGCTGTAAAACAGGGGAAAGGAGTGAGATTAGCCACTTGAGTGAGTACCAAACCTACATGTGATTTAAATCAAGGTGTATGAGATTTATTTCTTTTTTTTAAATTGGCATTTGTGAAATGCAGATTTCTAGACCCAGTTCTATGGTTGTCATATTCTCTAGTTCAGAATTATGTTCAAGGAATTTCAATTGGAAACTATTTTTCATTTATGATTGTATCTGGGTTATGCAAACAAGATTACAATATACTTCATGGTGTTTTGTGAAGCAGTCTCACTCCTACTGACTACATATGCAGGGTAATGTATCACACTGAGTTTGAGTAAACAGTATTCCATCAGTACAACTGTATTTATTTTGTGCTGTAGCATGCAGTTTTTTGTATTGAACAAAGTATGGATCCTCTCTCCACCATCCCTCTTTCCCCTTAATATTTCTAGCACTGTTTTTAGGATTCCCTTATTCTATTAGATGTACCAAAGGAAGGGTAATAGACATTTTTCTGATAGAGTTCCTCCATCAGCATGTAAGAGATATCTGTGATGTGGTTCCTTCTGATATAGTTGGAAAGATGATGTGATCCTGGCTCTGCTCCTTTAAGTTTGATAGATATTTTCAAACCTCTTCATTAGATTATTTCCTTGACAATAGATAGTCATTCTTTTGACAGGGTTTGGGAGGAGGTTATTCCTAAAGCATCATGTATGAAGAATGAAAGACAGAGAAGGGATTTAAAGTTCTGAAGAATTTAAATCATTGATGTTCATTGCTTTTGAGATACCAACTCCTCTGGACATTGCATATATATATGTGGTTGTAGGACAAGTGTATGGAGTCACCTTTCTTTGACACTTTACTATTAGTCTGCGGTTCACAGATTGGAAACTACTGATTTTGATTTTTTTCATGACAGTTGTTTCAAGCCAAACAACTTGATTTTTGGAATTCATCTTTGGTGAGGATGGTGAAACTAGGTGTCCAGATGGTGTATTGACAGTACAGGTTCTATTAGTTAAGTGGTGTCCTGCCAGTCTTAACGTCTGTTGTTGTTAGTAGAGGAAGAACTGAAAATGTTATTGTTGTTGTTGCTTCATTGTAGGAATTTTGGAGGGGAGTTTTTCTCTTCTTATTAATTGCTTTTGCACTGATAGCCATTCTGTTGAAACGGAAACATTGTACAGGTCTTCTGAGTATCTGTGTCCAACATCACTTCTTTTTTTCTGCTTAATTCAAGACCTAATAGAAAAGCCATTTGAGGTCAAATTTAAAATTCTAGTTAACTGTAATGCACTTCAGTTTAGTAAAGTACATTTTCATTGTGATGCAGAGAATGGCAGTCATTCTTGGCTACACAGAGACAAAAATTAAAGCCTAAAGCACTGAACAATTAATGACACCGAAGTAATAGATCGTTTTGTGGAATCACTATGTCAGTACAAAGAGAAGTGAGTGAGACTGCAAAGAGATGCACCTCTAAAATGTTTGGTTCCCCAGTTCCCAAGACCAGAGTTTGGTAAAGATATGGTTTTGGAAGCTTTTGGCATAAGCAGGGTTGCTTGGAAGTCTTCAATTTCTTGATAGTTGTTAATTTTGTTAAAGTCTGTTAGCATTGCACTGATTTGATGGCTGTTGCTTCTTGGTGCTTACTTTTGTATTTTTCTATTGTTCTTTCATACCACTGGTAATTTTAATTCTGTTTTTGATCTTTGTTATAACTATTATTAATTCTTATATTGCTGAGTTCCATTTGTTGGGTGTGATGCTTAAGTGATGGTTCATGGTCTTCTTTCCTGGGTAGTGTCATATCTAAGGTGTCTGCCACATTATGTTTCTTTACATATATAAGGCTGCTAGACGGGAGTAGAGTTTGAGGATTTACAATGCACAGACTGAGGAAAATCAAGCATTAGAGCAGGCTGACCAGAGAGGTGGTGCAGTCATCATCAGGAACTCATCAGAGCCCTGAGCAACCTTGTCTGATTTCATAGCCAATCCTGCTATAAACAAAAGGTTGGATAGAGACCTCCTGAGGTCCCTGAATTATCCTATGTTCACATACGCAAAGCAAATATTACTTTTTGGAACCTCTGCTCAAAGAAGGGTATCAAGAGCTGCAGAAGGTGGGATTCACAGAGAATCTGCACAAAGCAACAGAGGAGCAATTGGGAAATGAAAAAGGAGAATTCAAGGTTGAATCTGCCTGTGATTCTCAGATCACATTTTCCAGCTATTCCTACGTATGCTATGTGATAAATGTTAGTGAACTCAAGTGTTTGTACTAAAAGGCTCCTCTAATTTCTGGAATTGTTCCTTCTGTTCCTCAGCTTTCTCGTATTCAGCCTATGCCTCCTAAACTAAGTGGTGTGCTTTAAATAAGGGGGCAGTCCTCAGGGCAAGGGTTCATGATTACCATATGTCTTTTATGTCATGTTTTTTATAACGGATTATAATTGAATTTGTTGGTTTTTTAAATTTAGATGTCAAATGAGTTTTTATATACCATCCATGTAAATGCTATTTTTTGCATTTCTCTGTAGGATAGGTAACTGCTAGCTGCACTTGACTTAGGCTGTCAGAGTCTTTTTCTAAATATAGTGTTAGTAGCAAGTTTCAGAGTGTGTTTACTGCAGCATGATCTTTTTTTAAAGCCTCAAAAGGTGAATTGCAAAGTGATGTCTTACAAATAAAAACAAACATCAATTCTATCTTTCAACTTCTAAAAAAAATTTTAAAATCTAAATTAAAATCCTAATACTTGTTTTTCGTCCTGGGTTTTTAAAACATTTTTCCTTCTCCTAACAGTCTCTCAAATTGTTGGGAATTTTGAGCCTTAATTTCACTTGCCTTTATTTTTTTCCCTTTCTCTTCCTGGGCATGGCTTGTGACCTATAGCGTGCTGCTTGGCTGCTGGTAAAACAGGAAATGGGGTGAGTAATTTCTTTTGGCAACCCTCATACCACTTCTATTAGAGAGTTCTCCAGATTTAGAGAAAGGAGAGATACTCTTACTATAACTTTTTTCCAGCATAGTAGAAATGAGAAACCACTTAATGCAGTGGACCTGCTGAGACAAGTATGTTAAGAGAAAATTTTAACCAAGCAATTAATGCTATATTTTCGAGGTCAAGACAGTTGCTTTCATATAAAGGTACTTCTGCTAACAGTTGTGGAATATGTAGACTCACCTCCTGTCCTTGGCCAAGATTTTAACTTACTTTGTACTTTCAAAACTAATCCTAAGGCAGTTCAGAATTGGGATGTGCTGCCATTGATTTTTATTTCTTTTTTAATTGTCCATAGCTTTTACTGTCTGCCTGGCAAGAACTCTTTTATATAGACACTATTTTTCTATATAAATGTTGAGTACGCAAGAAGTTGATCTTGCAGTCTTGTCCAGTTACTTGATGCTGAAGAAGGACAAGATATTTTCTATGCATTGGTTGGTTTGGGGTTTTTTTACCTGCTTTGACCTTAATTGGGGTTTCTTACCTCTTTTGCCTCATGCTGTGATTATAGCTAGCATGTGGCATTCCAACTTGGACTGCAGGCTGTCTGTCCAACTGTACAGCTTCAGGTTAATGTAATGGTCCTGAGAGGTGCCCTGATGCCATGTGCAAGCCAGAATCTTCTTGTACATGGAAGACATAATGAAATACAGACCTCTTCATTTTGTCACTATATCTGGTTTAGCTTACATTAACAGTAGCTGAAAACTGTTAGTCAGATAATGGTGAAAAGTCAGTAATGTAGCAAGAAAAATATTAGCGCAGCTGAGTGTATGTTAGTTTTGAGTCTTATTTTTATACCTCAGAGTTTTGAAATCAATTTAAACGCTTGATTATTTGTGTACTCCAGGACACTCCCACTCCTGGCCAAATGAGAACGTATTAGAGCCATTTTGAAGCAGTGAATTGTCTTTGTGGGCAAGAGGAAAGAAACCCACTTGTCTCAAAGTTAGTTGAGGATACTGAACTACTCTTTGGTGGAAGCCATCTTCACTGGAAGTACCATTTCAAGATACTCATAGAAAGCTAAACTAAAAGATGATGAATCACTTCCTACTTTGAGACTAATTTAAAGCAATTGTTTCATTAAAATGCTTGAGAGAGGCTGAGGCCCTGCAGGGCAAGCATTGCCCACATAGCCTACCATTGGTGCCATTTGTATAGGAGGACATGCACTTTGCTCTGTAAGTTCCCAAACAAATGGTTTGACATGGTATGCTGGCGCCCTTACAAGCATCTGCTCCTTTTAACTTCTCTCTCCATAGTCAAAGACACAGGGGTCAAGGAGTCTTATGCCTGCAGAGGTAGTTGAGCCTGTTCCAGCAAGGTCAACTGAGATTGTCATCTGGGCTTTTCCTTTTAGCAATTTGTGCCCAATGGAGCCATGTCCTCCTTTAATGAAGGACCAGGTTGCCCTTTGAACCATAAAAATAAGTCTAACGATTTATTTAAAAAAAAAAACCAATAAATTATTTTTGTCCATCTCTCTTAGTTCTTCTCCAGGTAGATTCTGGAAAGACCTTTGTAACTTTTGCTCAATCATGAAGCTGTGGCATGAGTTTCCTCAGTACATGTTCTGTACATAAAAAAAAAAAAAAATAAAAAGAATCTGTATTGCAATGTTAGTGAAAAAACCACTGCCAAAGAGAAGCAGGGCAAACCAGGATATTACTTAGGGTGGAAGCTGGACAGAAGGCTCCTTAGCAAGTAGCATGGGTGGTGCCCTGCAGGATCCAGATACTCAGTTTATTTAAACTGAACTAGAAACTGAACTAGATGTTGATTTACTATCGGAAGGGTCTCACCTCTATCTACATGTGCCTTTGTCTTTCTTGTGTTAACACAAGGGCTTATGTGACCACTGGGAGAGCTGATCACCTCACTGATCTGGCTGAAAAAAACCCACTTTTTTTAGTGGGTTAGGGTTTGCTTTAAATGGGATCAATGGAGTGGTGTTACTTAACATGCTGTGTAGTCAGCAGGCAAGTGCTGGCAGGAATGCACGACCAGAGGCAGGGAGGAGGCAACATAGTCCTATCTGTGCTTGAGCTGACCTAAGCTCTAGTAGATATACCTTTAGCTACTCTCTGCCAAACTCTTATGTGTTTATTGGGAAGCATTTTACATGGAATCCTGGTCTGGCCTTAATGTTTCCTAAGAGCTTTGTTAATTCAATATAAAGATTCAGCGCTGTTATAGGAGGTTGTGGAACAGCCTTTCATTCTCTCATGCCATGGTCTGTATGCTTAGTACTTTTGTCCTTTTTTTATTTGTGTATTGCTTGTTTACCTGGTACTAGTTACTTAAGTTTGTCTTGAAATATTATATGTCATGTATCTATCTTTGACAAACCCCTGTGCAAGTTATTATTTCTTTGTGATTCAGAAATCTGGGCCTTTCCTTGGCAAAGGATGACATTGTTCAGCTGAAAGAAGCTTATAAGTGGATTATTCATCCCCAGTTGTCAGAAGAGTTGGGTGTTCCTGCTGACGGAAAGGTGTTGTGTAAATACAAAACTTTTTTTCTCTGTGTCTGTTTGGTTTTTTGTTGGTGTTTTTTTTTTCATACATGGTTTGTGTGTGTGTATCTATGTATTTATATACTTATATGTATGAGGGGAAGAAAATAAGAAAATAAAAATACATACTTTTTTCCCTCATTAACAGCTAAACAAGTTGCACTGCTTTTATGCTCACTGGAGGGGGAAGCAGGGGGGGAAGTTCTTTTAACCTGAGATCTCCAAGCCCAATCAATTTTTGTACACATAGATCATTGCATCTTCTGAAACCATTGCAGTCTTTTGCTACATCTCTTGCTCTTGGGCTGCCTTCCTCCTTTCATCAATGAGAATTTTTCAGTTTTCTCATTTTCCAGGACCTTTGTTTTTCAGGGGCTAAGGAATGCTCATGCATTCTTTCTTTGCTCTCCTATTACTGCCAACACTTTTACTGCTCTGTGAGATAAATTGTTCAGGTTGTTGGCATATTAAATTCTATGGATAAATTATATTTGTGAAACGTACTGAAAGAGGAAAGTCTGGTCCTTGTTCACTTTAACAAATGCTAGATAAAGGCATGTTGGAACCTGTAATACCTGTAAGTAGGCAAACTGCTTCCAACTTTTAGATTCTGACTAACATTCTTAAAATGTTTCTGAAATGCACTGACAGAACATGACATTCGGATGTTGCCAGACAGATTCAGAAACACCATCGTCTTGAATGTAAAATTTCTGCAAACATGGCTAAAACTCCTGCTGAGGACAAGGCAGTCTGCAGTTTTTACTTGTCATCAGCCATAGGACTGACCCCAGGACTAGACTCACTGAGTCTTTATGTTGATTTGTCAGCTTCCATAATAATTACAGATTGTCTTTTCCCAGGAGTGCTAATTGAAAGCATCCCTTTTGTCTTACTGAAGAAAGAAAGAAAGAAAGAAACACTCAGTTACCCTGAAGATGATCCAAGAAGAAAGAAACTTCTTACATACCAAGATAGCTAGAGCTCAGCAACACTTAGGCACTGAGCCACTCCAGACATCATTGTACCACAGAAGTTACTTGTCTAGTGCTCTTTATCTACGAGGCACTTGAATATTAGCCAATCTTTTCAATAGCCCCCTTGAGGTATTCTGGTGTCTGAATAACAGAAGTAATGAGTGTTGTTTGCCCAAGGCCAAAGAGGGAATTGGGGGTAGAATTGAGATTACACTAGAGTTTCTGGTCTAGCTGTCAATCCACTAGGACATGTTGCCTTTCTTTGCCCCAAGGCCATACAGTCATTGCAAATGAAGCCCCTGACAAAATTTTACGGTGGTGACTACTACGGGGTTTTTATCTTTATTCCACGCTATGCACTGCTCTCCCAGAAGGTTTGTGAAGTTTAGTGACCGTAATAGGCTTTGAGCATACACTGTCTCTGACTCAGTTCCCCCTGTGCAAAATTAGGCCAGTATCTATGGTGTGTAGGTCACTCTTGTTTTTGAAGTGCTCTCAGATAATCTTTGGTTACTTCAGAAATGCAAATGCTATTATGGCACACGTTTTAATGGCTTTAGATGATGTTGTAGAATCAATGGGTGACTTTCTCTTTTGTCTACCTCTTTACTGTTTTCCTATTACTGCAATAAGGATGCTTGAGAATATCATCCCTGTTTGTTTAAAAAAACCCTATTACCTTCTTTTTTTTTTTTTTTTTTAAATTTAGAGTTTGTTTGAAGTTAGCGTGGTCTTTGCTCACCCAGAAACAGATGAGGAGTGCCATTTCCTGTAAGTTTTTATATAAATAACAAAAGATCTTTATCTAAATATTGTGCAACATTGTTGGTTTGGATTTGCTACAAATGAGAGTGTTTATAAAGTAGTATGCGGCCTGCATCTAAACTTCCTCATATTCAGATAGAGTTGCAGAGCTCAACATTACACCATCTGGTTAATTCTGTGCTTTAAAGCCAATAAACAAAGCCATCCAGAATTTTGATTTGACCTGGAAGGAGAACGTTCAGATAATTTGTTCAATTTCAGCCCTTTTCAAAGTCATTATGCTCTTTAGTATAGGCATAACATTTAAAAAAATAAATTCTAATCATATAGTTGCAGGTGGGGAAATCTTTTGAGGTCATGCCTAGGTTTTCCTGCGCTTACAGGAGACATGGATGGAAGGCTTTCAAGTGAGTTAATCCAATTTAGCTGGTTGATTAAAACAAACAGAAGTTCCCTGGCCACTACATGCAGTTTTTGGCCTGGCCCAGTAGGCCATCTGCTATACACAAAGAAGCAAAATATTTCTGTGAATTTAGCTGCCATTTAATCTGATTTCTCAAAATCTAGCTCTAGTATATTCTGGATAATTATGTTCACTCTTCCTGTTTGCTGATGCTTCCTGGAAAAGTTAAATTTCACTCAGTTTCATCACTTATGCTCCTGCCGCAAGTTAAATCTTAGTGTAGAAAGAGGCTCAATGGAAACTTCTCTGCTGCATAGTGAATTCATCTCTTGAGGCTATAAATTTCCTTTGCAGGCTTTATATATTTCCCTGATTTTACCCCTTCTGGCAATTTGTGATCTTTGTTTGAATGCCTGACCTGCCACCTTCTTGGCTTTCGGCAACTGCATCTTTGATTTGTCTTGGGGTGGGGAATGAGGGAGTGCATGCTTGGTGACAGAGCAGGTATTAGAAAGAATGGATTAGCAGTGTTTGCTGAACATCTTCCCTTTCCAGCTTCTTCAAGACTGGGCAAAAGAGGAAGAAAGTAACAGGGCCAAACTACAATTCTAGATAATGGTACCTGCAATCCTCTGAAAACATGAGTGTTTCTGGATCCTGCACCCTTTTGTTCTTACTTATTTAATTTTACTTGGTCCGTTCTTGTTTTCTGTAGTGCTCTTCCTTCCTCTGAAACCTCTTGGCTCTTATTTTCAGCTCTTCCTTCCATCCTTTTTGAGACATTTCAAAAATACTGATGTTGAGCATGTTACGGTACCAATGTTAGAGCTCCAAGCAGAATAGTTGTAGAGGTGAAAGCTGTAAAGAAGTTCCAGTCCACCTTCCAACAACTCAGGTTTATTCCATGTGACCTGACAATATCCCTTTATTTGCCATCTCTTTGTAGCATACTTGAATGGCAATTAACATTTTAGACATTTTTCTGTCTAATTTAATTACATGGTAGTTTCTTGGGCATCAAGGCATTCTGCGTGTGTGAATGGCTGGCTCTGGGCATATTCCGAGGCAGTGGTTTGGTTTCTATGTAAATATGGTAAATTTAGCAATTATCATGGCTTTAGTAATGACAGTCACGTGTTGTTGTAAAAGCAAATAGGATGTTGTCAACCTGGAGAAGTCCTCCAAGTGGGCTTTTGGGTGGGTTTTCCAAATATGGCATCTGCAGTTTCTCATTTCTCAAGCTGTTCTTACACAATTACATGTAGGTAGGTGTGCTAAAATGAACCTTGGTTTGACATGGAAAATTGAATTGGCTCTTGTTAGTTTATGTTTGGAGATTTATGTGTAAAGGTAAGGTGGTACTGAAATTGTAGAAGAGGGAATTTGCGATGCTTTGTGTCACAAACTGGCCAGGCAGTTTGCTTGTATAGAAACGGTGGGAGGTCTGACCTGCTTCCTTGTAGTCTAAAGTAGTTACAGAGGTGTTGAAAGCACCAGCAAGAAATGATAAATTGGTTTGTAGGCTAGAAATAATCTCTAACTGCGTACATAGAAATCCACTAATAGGAACAGCAACTTCCTCTACACTACTCAGAAAAACTGTTTCACTGACTTGGCTTTCACTTTCGTGAAACAACCAATAGTTTCCTTTTGAAGAGGCAAAGCACAAATGGTATTGAACACCTGGGGTTACTTTTTCTGTAATAAATTGAATTTTCCTATCCAGAAGCAGCAATTTGAATCTCTAGCTTGTAGTGTGCATAGTTGAAGAACAGCAAGTGTAGATTTCAAGATGTCAGCAAATCTTGCACAGAATTTCAACATTCATCATGTCCTTTATTGAGAAGGATTGGAAAGGACTGAAAGCTAAACTTCTTGTGTGCTTTTCCATCCCATCTCAAAGCTGAGACACATTTGTGTCAGTCACAGCAGAAGAGGCTCATGCAGCTTTGTCCTTGATTTCTCTCTATATCAACACACACCTTCCACCTATTGTGCTTTAGGGTTAATTTTTAAATCTGCTCTATGCTAAGCTGTGGAAGTGAAATACTGGACATACTGGTACAGAGACCATGTAAACACACTAAGTTTATAAGTCTGTCTGTTTATTTCTTTTTCTGAAAGAGTAGCAGCTAATTTTCATTTCTGTATTTAGAGCCACAGCCTGTCCAGACTGTTTCAGACCAGCGAAGAACAAACAGGTAGGATCTCATCGTTGTTGCATTTCTTTTCTGACATTCAGGATTTCACAGCTACAACAAAGAACTTACCTGGATATTCAGTCCATGTTTATTGTCTGGTTTGCCTTCATCAGAAATCTCTCTAGTTTTCAATTGTCTGAAAATAAAGTTGTCCCCTTTATTCACTTAACATTGCTCTGCTTAGGAAGACTAAGAGCTTGGCACTTTTCTTTAGGTCATTCATTTTCCACACTGTCTGAAGGCCATAATTTTGGGTATGTTCTCTGTAAATACCTCCTTTAAGATCTAGGAATTTGATTGTCATGCATTAAAAGTAGCATAAAAGATGATCCTTAAGCTCTCTGCGGGTGAAACAGTTCAGTTAAGTCACATTGTGAAGATGAGACTCCGCAGCCAAAAGAGAAATGATCACACCGCAGTTTTCATGTCCTCTGATCTGAATGAAAGACATGATACATTCAGGATAGTTTTATCCTGTCTACCTCTGGAGGAGGGGAGGAAAGAAAAGGGACCTTGTCACTTGTTGCAGACTCTGAGCACGCACACAATCATTGACAGAAAAGAGGACATGTAAGAATAAAAAAACAGTTGGAGAGAAACAGATATAAGTAGGACAGTTGGTGTGATCAGAGGGAGAACAAGTAACTTCTATCAGAAGCCTATGCAAGGCCTTTTATTCTTTCTGGTGAAGAGTCTACCGACATTTGGCAGAGGCAGCTTGACCCGGGAATTCTGCCTACTCTACTCCACCTGACCAATAAATGTAAATCTTTTTTTAGAAGGTTTGTATTGTTATAACTCACTGCTTGCTGCATCGCTGTCCTTTAAAAGGGGGGAAATCCCACATAAGGAGCTAAACCAGCAGGGCCTGGCTGTTAAAACCACACAGGCAACAAGATGTAGGGGAATCTAAAGAGAAAAATACCGACTCTGAAGAGCCATCAGAGGTTCATCTTTATAAAGATGCTGTGCTTGAAGCTAGCTTCAAGGGCTCTGTTAATCAGAGAAGTAGTATAAAAACTGGGTTCGGAGTGAAAATTTCTGTGTTTTCTGCTGTAGATAGTTACTTAAACCTGCTGCTAGTTTAAGGGTTTCCCAGTTCATCTGTTCTACAAGGAAGAGAAGTGCTATTATCTCTGATTTATGCTTAGAAGGAAAAAGAGCAGCTTTCCTGAAGGCATCCAGGAACTCTGTGTTAGAGCAAAGACTTGAATTGTTCCAAAGAGTGACCCACTATTTTTCTTTTTTTTTTTTTTTTTTTTCCAAATCCCCAATCCAGTTTGCAGAAAAGATATTAAATTGGGAATTCAGCGGATGGCCCTCAAAGCAGTCAGGGGGCTGGAGCCCGTGCCCTAGGTGGAGGCTGAGGAACCTGGACTTTTTTCAGCTTGGAGAAGAAAAGGCTTTTGGGAGGACCCAACAGAGAGATTATTGAGATCAGGGAGCCAGGCTGTTCATCACAGTGCATGGTGGAAGGATGAGAGGCAGCGGAAATAAGTTGAAATGAGAGGTTCAGAGAAGATAAAAGACAAAACTTTTTACCGTGAGGACAGCTGGACAATGGAGCAGGCTATGCAGAGAGGGTATGCAAGCTCCATCCTTGGAGGATTTCAAGACCTGGCTGGATAAAAACCCGGGCAAGATGGTTTGACCATAGCTGACCATGCTTTGATTAGAGGGTTCATTTAGAGACTTTCTACTGTCCTCAGCCCTCCTAAAGTAGGATTCCACCTCACCTGTTGCAACACATGTTTCTCCTGTTCTAGGAACTAAATTCTGTGTTTTCTGCCTTAAACTCACTTGAGTGAGGTTCACAGCAGTACCTGGCTATGCACAGAGGATGGTAGTGGTGGCTCCTGCCACTACTATACTATTATTACTACTTTTACTATCAGTTTACCCTCGTGAATTGAGGCAGCTTGCGAGTCTGAAGTTGATTTCCTTCCACAGTTCAGGAACTGCCAAGCCTTTCCATTCAGAGCACTTACTTCTGAGTATAAATGAACTTCTAAGCTTTATAAACAGATACTGTTTCAACAGTCTTGTTTTCAGAAGAACTACCTACCTGCTGTCACTGAGATAAAAGCTGGGGCTTAGGTATACTTAACTGTTGAAAATGAGGAAGATGGTTTAGGAATCTGTTTTCAATTTATTTTGCAAATTTGGACCTGTGTTCCCAAGCAGTACTTTTTGGTTCTGGCTTTTGCAGACTTTTGTATAACTTTTGTATATCATCTGAAATAAGTTTCCAGAGATCTGCTGAACATTTCTTTCAGCTAACCAAAGGGCGTGCTTAGCAGTTAAATATTTTAAGGAATTGGAGTAGGTTTATTTGGAAGTGTGACAGTAACTTTAGACCTGCTGAAAGTCACTGGCACTTGTTATTTTTTTCCATGTAAAAAAGGTGACAAAACATACTACTGTTTGTACGTGTCTTCTAGAAACAAAGGGGTAAATTTTAGTTCTAGGACTAAATAACTGCTGTGTTCCAGTCGGTCAGCTGCATTAGTTGTATTGCTTTCACATTGTGCATAAAGTTACCTGAAGAGATTTTGGCAAAATCACCTGTTGCTCTTTGTTGTCCTATTAAAGTTAGGGTTAAGATCACAGTGAATTCTTGCTGATACAGAGGTGCTTTTAGGTATAAGAAAACACAAGTGTATGGTGTATATGTTTTAGGGGTTTTTTTCTTCCTTAAAGCATATCCTTTCTTAGCTTCTCTTAGTTCTTGACTAATTTTTTTATTTCACTGTGCAGTCTGTTTTCACTAGAATGGCAGTTATAAAAGCCCTAGAGAAGATAAAAGAAGAGGATTTTCTCAAGTAAGTGTATACTGAAACTGGTTCTTAGTATTGTGCTTTTGTATAGAATTAGGATGGGGAGGAAAATACTAGGTGGGTAAGTAGTGGTAAGATGTCTATAAAAGAACTTTTAATTGTTTAAATTCTGCTAGTTGACTGGTTACAATATGTTGTGTTTTCTATTCTTCTAGTAACAGAATGTCATTGCGGATCTTTTAATTAAGGAGAAGTCTTAAAATGCTTGAGCTAAGCCACAGAGGATGGAAAACTGGACATGCCACAGATGATAGTCCTTTTCCTGTTAGTAAAAGTGCTTCATTGGTTGGTTATCTCAGGAGCAGCAGAGAGGACAAACTGTGGCCAGAGAGCTGCAGTTCTTCTCTGTGCTTTCGGCAGCATGTCACTGCAGATCTCTGGGCTGGCATGGGATTTAGAACAGTTAGAAGTGAAAAGAGTTTGTTGTAGTATTGCCAAGCATTTGCATTCAAAAATCTTTGTGTACATCCCCAAAACCACAGAAGAGGTTTAGAAATCATGGAACTTTTTATTCTGAACCTTAGAGTTTGTAAGTCAAGTTTCTCTTTGCAAGAAAGACACTTTCCCATGTTTCTGAAATATCAGGAGTTGAGTTTTAAGAAAATACCAAGTGCTGTAATATGGTAAAAATCACAAGCAGTGGGAAGGCATCGATAGACACTTTCTCTGTAGTTCACTGTTCTTAATGGTACTAAGTCTTCACAGCATTTTTCTTTGATTCCCATCAAAGATTTAGTAATAGATCCCAAAGATAGCTTTCATGCAGTACTTAGTTTCATTATTGCTGTAACTATAGTATGTACATTTATTAGCACACTTTGGAGTGTTATACTTTGATAATGTTCAATGACAGATCAACAGAAGTATTTGCAATGCGGTGTTCTTGAGTGCCTTAATGTTTATCAATTTCTTGGTGTTCCAGCTTTTAATGTCAATACTGAGTTTATACTGTAGCTGTGTTTTGTGTAACCAAAGTAGTCATCTTTCATGCTATGGTGGTGCTCCATCATGTTCTGGTGTTACTAGTATTTTTTAATCTTTTTTTATACAGGCATTTTCCATGTCCCCCAAGTTCACCAAAGAACCTCTGTGTTGCTCTGGAAATTCAGTGCAATAATGGTGCAGTTTTCGTGGCTGGTAAAGTGATCCATTTATTTGCTGCTGTCTTGTCTTAAACGTAACTTTATAATACTGCCACGAGGCCCAGAAGATTCTTGCTATTTGTTGATTCCTGTATTTATTAAGTATTTAAGTATATTATGTATTTAAGTATATTAAGAAACAAATCTAGAGTGGACGTGTTTGAAAGGGGAAAAAATTATAGTTGCTGAAGATATGATTTTGTCAAAAGTTAGAAATTACTGATCAGCATGTTGAAATCAAAACTATTTGCCTGCTCTTAGAATGTGAATTTAAACTTGGAGATAACGTGTGGTGCAATACGGTTGAAGAGGAGGGGGAGATGCAGGCAGCTGTATCGGGGCCAAGGTGGGGTTCCCATGGGAGGGGCTGCAGGAGGGGAGCACCTTGGCTGCTCCCGGTGTGCACACCTCTCCCTTTTGGATATTGAGGAAGATCCTGCTTTTCCTTGCCATTGTTTTTCTTTTGCTTGGAGAAATGGAAGAGTTCCCTCTTCTAGAGTCAGCACAGGGTGATATAAAGATTTAAAACAGTGTTCTTTGTGCCCCTGCTCATTAAGGGGGCTTACCCAGAAGAAGTTTCTGAAATGAAGAATTTTGCCCTGTTGTCAAAGCTTGCTCTCTCCCTCAGAAAACCTTTGTCCCTGCAAATCTTGTAGTCATAATACTAATAAGCATGCAGTTTGGGAAAGGAACTTCTCCACTAAATAAGCTCCTGCAGTTCACTCTGCCAAAATCCAGAATTCAGAAATCTTTCACCATCTGGATTTGTCTGCATATAGTTCTATCCAAAATGGCTGATCTTAATGGGGTTAATTAAGGTTAAATTTTGGAATTCTTAGCTCTTTCCAGTTCTCCCCTCCAAACCAAGATAGCATCTGAGATAATTGGGTGAGACAGGTATTGCAACAACACTTGGTGTCCCTCAGTTGAGATGATTCAACCTTTTTATCACCCTCCTGCAAGAGTATCTACCCTTCCCCTGGTGATTGTATAAACAATCACATAAATATATGCAAACAGATTGTTTAAAAGAAATAAACAAACTTCAATTTTAAACCAGCCTACTATGTTTAGGAGGATGGTACAAATCCTGAACAAAGGAAAATGTAAAAGGAAAATAAAAAATGCAAAAGGGAATGTTCTCATGGCAGGCTAGTTGGTGTTCTATACATACTTGTTTCTTATTTTTAATTACTGATTAGACAGTTAAACATACATTTTCATGAATCCAAGTTATCCAGTGTCTTTTAGCCTTTTCCAAACACACTGTTTCAGTTCTGGGTGCTTTGTTGGATAGTTTTACCAGAATTCATCTGTATGGAGAGAGAGACAGAGGGTTACCTTTCTGGGTTTGTGATTTCTAGTTTATATCTTGCGCCAACAAAAAAAACCCAAACCTGCACAGGATGTTGTCTTTAATTTTTGAAGAATGAAATCCAGAATAGAATTTCACAGAATCACAGAATTATCTAGGTTGGAAAGGACCCTGGAGATCAGCTAGTCCAACCGTTTGCCTAGCACACTTCCCACCTACAGCATATCCTTAAGCTCTAAATCGACCCTACTCTTGAACACCTCCAGGGATGGGGACTCCACCACCTCCCTGGGCAGCCCATTCCAACGCCTAACAACCCCTTCTGGAAAGAAATGCTTCCTAATATCTAGTCTGAACTTTCCCTGGGGCAATTGAGGCCATTCCCTCTTGTCCTGTCGCTTTCTACTAGGCTCAAGAGACTCATCCCCAGCTCTCTGCACCCTCCTTTCAGGGAGCTGTAGAGGGCGATGAGGTCTCCCCTCAGCCTCCTCTTCTCCAGACTAAACCCCCCCATTTCCCTCAGCCACTCCCCATCAGACCTGTGCTCCAGACCCTGCACCAGCTCCACTGCTCTTCTCTGGACATGCTCGAGTCATTCAATGTCCTTTTTGTAGTGAGGGGCCCAAAACTGAACACAGGAATCAAGGTGTGGCCTCACCAGCACCGAGTACAGGGGCAAGATATTTTCCCTGTCCCTGCTGGCCATTGATGATACAAGCCAGAATACAGCCGGCTTGTCAGTCAACCCCCCCAGGTCCCCCTCTGACTGGCAGCTCTCCAGCCACTCCTTCCCAAGCCTGTAGCGCTGCTGGGGGTTGTTGTGCCCCAAGCGCAGAACGTGGCATTTGGCCTTATTGAAGCTGATGCAGTTGGCCTCAGCCCATGGCTCCAGCCTGTCCAGGTCTCTCTGCAGAGCCTCCCTACCCTCGAGCAGATCAACACTCCCACCCAACTTGGGGTCATCTGCAAACTGACTGAGGGTGCACTCAATCCCCTCGTCCAGATCATCAGTAAAGATGTTAAACAGGAGTGGCCCCAAAACTGAGCCCTGGGGGACACCACTTGTGACCGGCCACCAACTGGATTTAACTCCGTTTACCACAACTCTCTGTGCCCAGTTGTCCAGCGAGTTTTTTACCCAGTGGAGTGTGCAATTGTCCAGACTTGGAGCAGCCATTTTTTCCAGGAGAATTCTGTGGGAAATGGTGTCAAAAGCCTTGCTAAAGTAAAGGTAAATTATATCCACAGCCTTTCCCTCATCCAATAAGCAGGTCGTCCTGTCGTAGAAGGAGATCAGGTTTGTCAGGCAGGACCTGCCTTTCATAAACCCATGCTGACTGGGCCTGAGCATCTGGTTGTCCTACATGTGTTGCATGATGGTGTTTAGGATGAGCTGCTCCATCAGCTTCCCGGGCACCAAAGTCAAGCTGATAGGCCTGTAAGTTCACGGATGATCCTTCCGACCCTTCTTATAGATGGGCGTCACATTGGCCAATTTCCAATCAGTCGGGACCTCCCCGGTCAGCCAGGACTGCTGGTAAATGATAGAAAGTGGCCTGGCGAGCACCCCAGCCAGCTCCTTCAGCACCCTCGGGTGTATCCCATCTGGTCCCATAGACTTGTGTATGTCTATGTGATGCAGTAGGTCACTGACTGTCTCCTGGATTGCAGGGGGGTCGTTCTCCCAGTCTCTGTATTCTGGCTGTGGAGGCTGGGTTTCATCAATACAACTAACCTTGTTATTAAAGACTGAGGCAAAGAAGGCATTAAGCACCTCAGCCTTCTCCTCATCACTTGTTACCGTATTTCCTCCTGCATCTAGCAGGGGATGGAGACTCTCCCTGGACTTTCTTTTGCTACTGACATACTTATAGAAACTTTTCTTGTTGTCCTTGACTGCAGAGGCCAAATTAATTTCCAGTTGGGCTTTAGCCCTCCTGATTTCCACCCTGCACAGCCTCACAGCCTCTCTGTAATCACTGTGTGTGGCTAGCCCCTTCTTCCAAAGGCTGCAAACTCTCCTTTTCTCCCTGAGTTGCAGCCAAAGCTCCCTGTTCAGTCAGGGTGGTCTTCTCTGGCGTCGTCTTCTCTTAGAGCACCTGGAGACCGCCTGCTCCTGAGCCATTAACACTTCCTTCTTAAAGAGCGCCCAGCCTTCCTGGGCCCCTGTACCCTTCAGGACAGAAAAGGATCCCAGAGGATCCTTTCAAGCAGGTGCCTAAACAAGACAAAGTCAGCCCTTCTGAAGTCCAGAATGTCAGTCCTGCTTAGCTCTCTCCTGACCTCTCTAAGAATAGAGAACTCTTATTTCATGATCACTGTGCCCTAGTTGGCCTCCAACCTCCACGTTGTCCACCAGCCGTTCTCTGTTCACAAAGAGAAGATCCATCAGGTCACCTTCTCTGGTCAGTTCACTCACCAGCTGCATCAGGAAGTTGTCTCCCACACATTCTAGGAATCTCTGGGACTGGTCTCATTCTGCCGTGTTGTATTTCCAGCAGATGTCTGGAAATTTGAAGTTGCCCACAGGAACAAGGGCAAGTGATTGTGAGACTTCATCTAAGTGCCTATAAAATTTATTGAGTAGAGTGCAGTTATTTTGCTGTTATTAAATGAGACTGGATGGTAATTTGTAAGGAGAGCTTCAGAGTTGGTATTGCCCTCCTGGCCTTATCTTTGGTGTTGAGTGATCATTTCCCCACCCAACCTTTTTTTAAAGGTTCAGGAGAAGCTGTCAAACCAAGGAACACCTTCTGTGTTTTTCACTCACTTTTGTTCAGGTCAAAAGCTAAATTTATTAGAATGGGGAGTCAAGAGAAAAAAAAGTATTAACTTCCTTTTACTGTTTTGTGGAAAGAGAATTTAGTAGTGTAAAGCTGACTTCTGAATGATTAGTCATACGACTTTCATTATTTGCCCCAGTGAAACAGTATTAGTCAGTTTGCCCATTTGTTTGTGTGGGTTTTTCTGCAGATCAAAATGCAAGAAGGAAACATTGTTAGAAATAGGAAAATATGATACCGAAAACCAAAAAAAAATGAGAGGACAAAAGCACAGTATAATATGCGCAGCAACTCTGAACTCTTTTTAAATTTTTTATATGCAAGGTTTCAGATCGAAAGTTGTTTGTGCAAGGGGGTTACTCATTGTTCTTTGTGAATGAGTTCCTTGTTTTGTGTATATTTTCATTTCTTATAAAACCTGTCAATAAGAAAGCTCATCTTGGTCATCTGTGTCAGACTTGTTCTTTGGTTATAGCAGTCCTTGAGTCACAGAAGACAGCATGACAGTCTGATATACCATGAGACTATGACTGGAATCAGAGGATGGCAACCTCTACATGGCAACTTTTCAGGGTTCTTGAAATTCGTTGTTTATTATTGAGACATTTTGCTCTCATGGTTTTCCTTGTAATGAGCCAAAACATTTTAATTTGGGTTTCTTTTGTTAAACATTCAGACGGTGGCAGAACCTGGATTGAAACCTGAACTACTCGATATAGGAGAGTGTGGGAACATCTTTATTTGGGACACATATGCTGAACAGGCATATATATATATAGCACTAATTTGGTGTATTGTAGTTAGGCTGGTTCAAGACCCTGGTCCAATTGCAAAAAAAAAAAATAAAATTCCATTCAGTATTAAGTTGACTCAGACTAGGCACTTGAACCTCTGGGTTTTGTTCCCAGTTGTGTCATGCCATACACAATTTTGTTTCTGTGGCTATACCTGAAGGTAGGACTGCAGCAATAGGCTCTCCAAGTCTACTTTTAGGTCGGCCATCTTGGATACTGAACCCCTTGTAGGTGCAACAGCACACATTTCCTACTCTTGCTGGAATGCTCTTGCCATAAAACAAGTTCAAGCCTGTAAATTTATTTTCACAAGGCCCTGTGAAAAGTTAAATGTGTTGTGCTGTGTGATATTGTAACTTTTGTCCATGGCATAAGAATGATTACAAGTGACATAGTTGTTTTTTACAGGAAGATACAACAAATATTCAAGGAATTTACCTCAGACTCCCTGGATTATTGATGGGGAGAGGAAGCTGGAATCTTCAGTGGAAGAACTGATTTCGGAGCATTTAATCGCAGAATTCAAAGCAGATAGTAAGTATCTAGGAGATCTTTTACCATATATATTTTTCATCATTACTAGACTTATTTTTTCTTAGTAGCTACTCACTTAAAAGAAGCGCATAATGGAAAAAAAATATGTTTCTTTATCCCTCTGTTATCCTTCCAAGTCAAAGCTTGTAAACTTTTTTTAGCTATGATCTGTGAGTAAACAGATGACTGCTTTGTTTTATGCAGTGTCATTTATCGTACTAAAATACCTCCTTAGCTGATCTGATGATGCAAATATTATGGTTTCATATATGTGGTAGTATTTTTGCCTAGCCATACTTCTTAATGGTTGGTAATTCATAAAATGGCTTGTAACGAGAAAGTGTTGGCTGTAATATCTGTAATATTATATTCTATTAATTATATTAATAGAATATCATAATATCTGCCTAGCCTTTGACCCCTTCATGTTTCTTACCTCGATTAATTAATTTTATTCAGTGCATAAAGTTCCACAAGCTAAATGGTCATCCAGGGATTATCCGCATGAAATAATGACTGTCCATCATTTGTCATCCACTAGATGTAGAATTAAGAGACACAGAAGGCCCAAGGAAAAATTGCGTTAAATATTAGTTTGGAAAAAACAGCTACTTTCCCTTCCTCCCAGTAGAACACTAGGAGAATCCTCAGACTTTGTCTTTAGGCCAGGTACTATGTAACACCTGATTTCAGCTTGCAGAATTACTGCAGGAGGCTACCAGAAGTTCATGTGCAGTAATGTTGAGAAGAGATATAAACGAACAGAAAGACCTTTGCCAGTAGATCAGGGCAGGTGGTCCTTGCCTTTTATGCAGCACTGGGGAGACACATCTGGAGTGCTGGATCCAGTTCTGGGCTCCCCAGTACAAGAAAGATGTGGACATACTGAATTGAGTCCAGCAAAGGGCTGTGAAGCTGATTAAGGGTCTGGAGCATTCCCAACTAAGAAAAGTCCGTTAGTGTGACCAAAATACACATTTGTGATCATTTATGTGGGTGCCATAATAATCAGAGAAATGAGAGATGATAAAACCCAAGGAAATCTTTATGCACGCTCTATGTTCCCTATGGAGGAAAAAGTTTTAAAACCAACAGTTTTTCAGAGACCCTGTGGAACAGAGCTGCAAGGTTACCTCTGCTGCAGGGTTTGGTCTCCCATTCCTCCTTCAGGCTAAGCTTAAAGGTGGAAGGGGTATGATGAAGGAAACTAAAATACCCGACAGTACATTTCTATAGCTTGAAAGATGAAAAAAACCAAATACACAGAAGTTACTTTTTGCTTCAGACTTGAATTTTTTTCCTCTTTTGTCCAGATGTGTGTGACTGGCAGAAATTTCTCTGGTATCTTTGGAAGCCATGGGGTGTATTTAGGGTAAAAAGTTGTGTTTTGGAGGAGGACAGCTCAGTTTGATTTCATTCATAAACTTGAATTATATGGTTCAGAAATGAACCAAAATAATTAGTATTCCTTTAGGATTATACTGCCCTTTTTTTGACATTTTCAGGGCTGTAGCAGTCTCATTCAGGCCAGGGAACTAGGAGTACTCTTCAAGAAACTTGTAAATCTGGTGCAATAAGCAGATTTGTTCAAATATGGTGCAGACTTCATTTTATAAAGATGGCTCTTCGAAGCAGATTTGCAAACAAGTTTAGAAAGAAAATACTTCACCTTTTAAAAGCTGTAGAGTATTAAAAATGTGCAATAAAATCTCACCTGCCTTGTTCAAATCTGTTATAGGCTTTAATTTTTCTTCCTCTGGAAGAGAAGATGTGGATGTAAGAACACTAGGCAATGGTAAGGCTTGGAATATCTATCCCTTGTGAAACACAGAAACAAACAAAAGGGTTCATGGAAGCTACCCTAATAGATCTTGCTGAATGCTGAGTGCATAAGTGTGTGACTAGGCATGCTTTGAAATTTTATCTTAGAAACATTTTAGTAATATTTATGTATTTATTCCCAAAGACCAAACAAATATTTATGTATTTATTCCCAAAGACCAAACCATTTCATAAAACCAACTGAAAGAAGAGATATTTTTCAGTGTCCTTGGCTACCCAAGGAATCACATAGCTTCTTAGATATGGAATCACATAGCTTCTTAGGTGTATTTTATTTTATTTTATTCACTTCCTATTTTTTAATCTGTTGTGTCAGACTGATTTCTATCTTGTTTTCTGTTGGGTCCTTCTACTTTGCCTCTGTCACTGGGGAGTGGGGAAGCCTTGCTTTCTTTCTGGACTTGGGTCCTTTATCAAGGCCAGTTACTTTCCAACCTGCTGAAGCTACTGTAGCCAAGGGAGCAGGAGAAAGAAAAAGTAAAAATTAACAGTGATGTGTTTCAGCTGCTGGCTGATTTGTAGTGTAGTTCTTGGCATTGCTTATACTGGGGATCATCCCTGGCCCTGAGCACAGAAAGTGCAGCTATTGCAACAGATGTTTAGCTGAGGGAGCGGGATTTAACATCATCTTGCACCTGGGCATTGCTGTAGGTGACAGAAAATAAGCTAATTAACTTTTTTTCTTATTTTATTTTTTAATTAGCACAGACTTGTACAAGATGTCTTCTGGGAAGTCGTAATTTGCACTTATTGCTGATACTGGGGTTTAGTAGCCAAAAAAAGTCCCTTGTTTCTTTCCTTTCATCTGATGCTACATCCCTAAACCCGCAAGTCCTATCCCTGTTTGCATAACAGCAGACAATCTTCGCACCTTCCAACCTTACTGCATAAATTCAAACATTAATTTAGAACAACATGTTTTTATGTTTTATGACTGTGCATGTTGCCAGGAAGGCCCTTTGCAATTGAGCTTGTGAATCCTCGTAGAATACATTTTACTGCTGAGGAAATGAAGGGACTTCAGCAGGTAAATCATTTGCACCTCATGGAACTCATAAAGCATGTGTTTCTTCTCTAACTGAGCAGTTTTGCTAACTGATTCTTTTTTAAATATCACAGACAATTAATAACTCTTCAGACAAAATACAGGTTCGAGATTTACAGCTTGTCACCAGGTCAGTATTTATCATCGCTGGTGAGGGATTTCAAAGTGATGCTTTGGGAGTTTTGCAAGCATTCTTGCTCACAGCGTTATATAATTATGCTTATGTTATGTGAGTAATTAATTTCTTTTGTTTAGAGAGGCAATTGGTCGCATGAAGGAAGGTGAAGAGGAGAAGACAAAGACCTATAGTGCCTTAATATGGACAGACAAAGCTATACAGAAAGAAGACATTGCATTTCTAGATGATATCAAGGTATCTGTAGCTCTTTTTTGCTAATTTATATAGTACCTGTCCTGGTGCCTTAGGGGAGAGTTTATATGTGTGCACTCATGGGCATCTCTCTCTCTCTCTCTGGGTTTTTTTGGTCAGAGTTTTTCTTGCTATAGGGACTTTGCTACCTGCCTTCCCCCTTCTCACCCTTCCCTGCTTCACCCTTGTCATCCTAGACATACAGCTGGCTGGCTGTTAGCCAAAACAACAAATTATTATATAATATTGGCCTTCCAGTAGGCCCAATAATAAACAGTAGGGAATGGGAGAAGAAGGAATCTGGCACCTGCACCCTTTCTTTACCTTTTAGTGTTTTATGTATGTGAAAGGAGCGGAGGTCTTTTGTTCTGCCAGCTCTAAAGCCGTGCTCCCACAGCTGCAGTGATTAGGAGTTTGGAATGTCTGCGGAAAGTAACCAAAGAGGCCTTACCAAGAGCTCAACGTAACAAGCCTGCTGTGTTACCCAGAACTTTCTCCAACTGTTGGTCAGGGAGATACTGCTGATGGAGAAGTCTGTTCAGGTTTTGTGGTGGTGTGCTATTTCCTAAGGGCCTTGGCCATGAAATGCTCAAAGCCAGAGCTTGAGCCATTACAGTTCAGGAAGATGGCTGTTGTGAAGCTTTTTTTTTTTTTTTTTTAGCATGCCCACTCACTTCCTGAAAAGTTGCGTTTCAGACTGCTGCATCTCATTTGGGAAAGGGGATGGGGAATTAACTTTTTAAAAGACTCTTACAAGATCTAATCTCATTTTGGGGTTTTTTTCCTCACTTTTATTTCTAGGGGGTTGGCTGTAGTTTAGACAAAGCATTTTGTGGGTGGGATTTTTTTTTTTTTATTGCCTTGGGCTCTCAGTGAGCTTCTAAACCCTGGAGTCATTCCAGCAAAGGACTGTGGAGATTTCAAGGTTATTCCTCTGTATTTGTGATTCCATTAGTTTGTGTTCATATGAGGCCTTCTCATTTAGCCTTTGAGATGGCTGTCCTTTTTTTTGCCTCTGATAAATATGGAAAAATTTAATCTCACCTCCAAGAAGGCTCCTCAGCTACCATAATACAGTATGAAAAAGATATGATTGGTTAACAATACATATGACTTACAATCTGTGCAGTATGTTGCACATTTCCTTCCTCATTTATTTTGTTACATCTTGTAACAGGAATTAAAACTTGACCAGAAGACACCTCTCCGGGTTCTCCACAGAAGGCCTCTAGCCGTAAGATGTCGGATCATTCACACCATGAAATCTGAGTACATTGACGAGCATCATTTTCGTCTGCATCTGAAGACTCAAGCAGGAACGTATCCTTAGATGCTGTTGCACAATGCATTTACAACACAGCTTGCTGATTAGAGTAATATGGGTAATGGGAAGTTTCCTGCTTTTATTGCTTGGGTGTTTCTAAATCCCTGCTCTTCAGCAGTGTGATACTTTGCTGCCTAATCTTTGCTTTAATGTCCAAATTTCACATTCAGGCTTTCATTCAGAAATACTACCCAGGTGTGTGCCTTTTTGTGATGACCACTCTGATAGTTTTGAAGTATGTGATAACTATGAAAATGTACTGGTTAAAGACACACTTAAGCTTTTTCTAATTTAACTGAAAACTTTTCACCTTTGAAAATAAACTTTTCTGCGGTATTTCATGCACTGCAATGCAGACTGTAGGTTGTAGCTAATTCCAAATAACAGTTTGGTCATAAAGTCACGCCTCACTTCGGAATAAAACAAAAATACAGGTCAGTACTGCAGTTCTGTCATTATAGAGTCAGAAGCCAAGAATTAGAAAGTGTTTTAGAGATGGGTATGGGCTTAGCGGGATGTTCCCTGCAAATTGGTTTAGGAGTAGAAAAAGACATTATTTTGGCTTTGAGCATTTTTCACCATACTTTTTTTAAAAAAAATTTCCTTATGGTAAAAGCCACCTTTCCTTAGCCTGTATTTCTAGCTACATTAAAGAATTTGTGCATGGAGACTTTGGAAGAACAAAGCCCAATATTGGCTCCCTGCTGAACAGAACCACCAACATTCTGGAGTTGGATGTAGAAGTAAGTAAGTTGTTTGCTGTTTATCTTTCCTGGGAAATAGTAACACATTTGCGTTTGTGAGATGGTTTCCTTGGAATTGCTTTGACTGAATCAACATTCCTTACTACAGTTAACCAAAAAATTGATGTTAATGCAAAGACAGTGGTTTGTACCATACTGCCACATGTGACAGGTTGAATTCACATCAGGGAGGGATGGGAGCACATGCCATGAATCCATGAGGCTCATTATTAGCATGCACTGGAACAGAGCGTAGCAGCATCACACCTACCACAACACTGCTTTTCAAAACAGAGTCGGATGAAAAGTAGGAGAGATTTGACTTCCTCTTTTAATGCTGGTTCAAACAGAGCGAGAAATTTTATCTGTTGGCTTGCTGGAGTCAGATGAAAAAAAAAATTTGTTTTGGTTAAAAGAATGTATGTAGAGATACGAATTTAATATTTAACCTAGTGGTTTGGCAAGGTTTCTTTAAAACATGAGTTTTTCATTTGAAGTAGCCGATGAGCAGCAGCATGCTTGTTCTTATGTATTTCTGGAAAGCTGCCCACCTATTACATTTTGCAGAACAGCCTGGCAGGTTTTTGCGTATCTTTTGTAGGACAGTACAGAAAGAGAACTTGCAGGGGGCACTTGGTTACTTCTGAGAACAGGAACACCTGACTTGGGGCTTGGGCTGAAGCATCGATCTCGTACAGATAGGACATAACTATGAAAGATGTCTACAGACTTGAAAATAATTAGTCATCTTGCTAATAATGCATTTTAGTTCAGCCAAAGAGCCTAATCCTTTGATGAAGTTGTAGATTAGGCAAGGAGTAGGTATGATTAATGTAGACAGTCTTGAAGCCACGTGCTGTGTGGTGATCCCTGCATTGTGATTGCAAATGGTGATACTATGGCAGCACAGGGCCTGCTGCTTTTGGAAGAGGGTGAGCAACAGGTTTATGCCCGAAGGGAATTGGAGATGTGGCCTCAGGGAGGCCAGGGAATAAAGACATAAGTTGTAGTAATTACGGCATTTGCTTCTAACAAAGTGTCAGGCATGTTCTGTCCCTTTTGACTAACAGTCAGGATGTCTCTTAACAGTGTCTCGTAGATAATTCTTGCACATAAGCCTGACAGCTTATTCTTTAAGTTTTCCTTACTGCAGAGGCAGATTTGGGGACAGGTGATGGTTTTCCGCTCCATCCTCACCTGCACTGCCCAACACCTGAATATTTCTGTGGTATCAATCAACGGGTTATTATTCTTTGACATCCTAACCCCCCAGCTGTAGGATGGGTAGAAGATGGAGATGGGTTACATTTCTAATTAACAGTTCTTGATGCCCTGTAAACGCTGGCAAGTACAAGGATGCCACTTTATGAAGAAAGCCCAGCTCCCAGGATAGCTCTCCAGACACAACGTGGAGCCACTAGGAGGTGGCTGTTCTATACCACCGCCTCCTGCTTGCCTGGTGTCCTCTCTCTTAGTTTATTTATTTCCTGTTTCTTTCTATTATTAGCCTATAGCTGACAAGCACAGAGTTCTGATACCAAGTCTCTTTATGTAAGTAAAATATCAAGTTTGCTAATTTTTACCTCCCCCCCCTTGCTCTTCTAGTCTGTTGACGTTGACTGGCCTCCAACCCTGGATAATTAACTTCAAGTTGGGACGAGGAAGAAGCAGCAACTGTGTCAGCAGCTGGTTACTGAACCCTGCACAGTATTAACAGCTCGGCTGCAATGTATTTCTGTTAAATATTTGGATCATGTTGATCTGCCAAAGGTTCCTGTTCCTTTGAATTAACTTTAAACACTCTGGAACAGGTAGTGTTCATTCAGTCTCTAGCCTTATTTTAATTTCTTCTGTGCACAGAAAGATTTTGGTAAGCTGGTGTATTATTAATAAATCTTTTTAAAAAACAATTATGATAAATGGTATAACGTGCAAATGGTGTACTGAGCAAGTACATCAAGTGTGCTTTCTACAGTAGTTTAAAATGTTTAAATTAAAACTAACCCTCCCTCGAGCCAGATCTTTTTTAGACTGTTTTTATATTGAATGCTGCAGCTTTCTTGTTTGGATGCAGGTAGCAGTGAGTTACCTTAAACCCAGCCCTAACTCTTTCTGAGCACTGTTTATGCAGGAGCATTTCCCACAAGTCAGGGAGATGCTGAAAGTGCCTGCAACAAGATGATGCTCCGCTCTCTGCCAACAGCTTTTTGGTCAGTGTCATGTTTTGAGATGGGCACATTAGTCTCCTAGACAAAGTGCTTTTAAAAGGGAGAAACAGTTTTCAGAGGAAAACTTTGCACTTAAAACCAAGTTTTTCTCATTTAAGAACATCAGCACTGCTTCCTAGAATCAACAGTTGAGGTACTTGGGGCCTCAGCAGCTCTCTGGCCTGGTTACAGTCCTCTTCAGGCATAGGATTTCCCCTGTTGAGTCTGTGCAAGCTTCGGGGGTGTGGGTGGTATTAAAGAGGACATGGTAGGCATGCGTAAGTCCCCAACACATTGCATCAATTTGTGTCTCCTGGGTTTTGCCAGCTTGGTAACACACACTTTCTAAGCACTCCATCAGCTTCTCAGGGCTTTGCATTTGCTCAGGAGTGAAGTTCCAAAGCACTGGAGGTGCCCACCGACTCAGGCCTTTGCCCATTTTTTCCCACACCCCTTGCCACTCACTATTATCTGGCCTCAGGGCAGGTTTCCGGGCACTGCTATTGTTAGAGAAATGCTGCATGGCCAAAACCGAAATAAGGCAGACATTCAGAAGGCATAGTGCCACAATCACGCTGGCTTGCAGGCTCCAGGGGGGAGCTAAACCGCCCCAAAGCCGAGAGGATCCCTTCCCCTGGCTCACCCACAGAGGGGGTGAGACCCCTAACAAAAGCCCAAATGGCAAACAGGTACCAGCCCGCCCACACACAGCGATACAAAGGCAGCATACGCATTCAATAACCTGTACAACATAAGAACCTTTACACGTTTTCCACCCATAACAAACACCACCACAGGGATCACACACTGGATATAAGGAGTAATCCAGCTGCACCACGCAAACATGTGGGCCAGCATCGCAAACATTTTCTTATCAAACAAATACAAAAAAAATTACACCCAACAGATTGCTCTATCACACTCTGGTCAGGGTCTGTCCCTTTTTATTCTTATAGCTTCACCCTACGTTGGGCGCCAATTAATAATGTGCAAGGTTTAATCCTTGCCGGGATCAGGGACCACATGGCCGTTGCCCCTCCCCCACCCAGTCGGGTTGGAAATTAGACACAGACCCCGGCTAAAATAACAAGAAATATAATACAACAGAGTGATAGAACAATCTGAATAACAACAGTATCAATGGTCACAACAATGAACAGCAATAACAGTGAACAAGACAAACGATATACAGAGAAATACCACTAGCTGGTCTACAGAAAGCAAAATTCCCTCCCGAGCCCGCCAAAGAGCAAGGAAAAGATTCCGCCCCCCGGACCTGACGTCAGCATGGTATGAATAACCCGGCTGGAGATCCCTTCCCCCTCTCTCTTTGCTGGGGAAAACTTTACTCTATCCTGGCTGAACCAGGACAGAGTCACTGTATATAAAAAGATAGGGAACTCCTGGCAGTGGTGCACAGTGGAAATATAAAGAAAAAAAAGGAATACCAGGAACCTTAAAGTACAGGCAAATACAAAACCTACAAAAGAATGTTGGTATTGAGAGATGAAAAACTTCAGTTTGTAGCATAATACGTTTTTTTTTCTAGTACAGAGCCTTGGATAGATTCTTGGAAAGGTTGAACATTGCCTGGGAACACGCCTGGAGTAGGGAAGACCTGAGTCTTTTCCTCTTTACTTGTGCAATTTTAAACGTTATGTGCAAAGAACCACCTCTATCTTTAGGAAAAGCCAGTTCTAGATGATGTTAATCTATCAAGAAGATGATTCTGCTTGCCTGAAGTACAGAAGAGTGTTAAATTAATCGACAAGAAATTAAGGTTTGGAATTGAAGGGCTCTCCATTAATTAACATTTCAGAAATAAAGAGCATAATACTTGCCAAGACAAATCACTGGGGACAGTGAGGATTACTGAGATACCTTACCTCCAATTCAGCGGTGCCAGGACCTCACCATAGGACACCTGCATGATAACTTTGGCTGAAGGCTCAAAAAGGCATTAATAAATACGTTTTCAGAGAGATCCTAAAAACTGATTTTGAAAAATTAGTCTAAATAATATACACTCTGCCTGTGATGGGCTGTCAAAACTTGTCTCTCATAATTTGTTTTCCTAGTCCACTAAGTATAGCAGTGGTTCAGAAGCCCCTGTTTTTCTAACACCAAAATAATTGGAACTTGATTTCAGACAGCAATATTTTTTTTGTTTTAATCTTAAAGCTGTTATGAGCAAGAGATTCCAGGAGCGGTTGCTTCAGATAACAATCTGTACTAAGAAAGGAAGTGTCATGAATGATGGAAAACTTTAAGAAACTGAATTCAGAAAACAAGAGAGTTCAGTCTCGCATTTGTGTGATTTCTTGAAACTCCAAGTGAGCTAAAATATGATTTATAAATTCCATAAACTACAAGGCAAAAAAAATGTAAACAAGGCTGCACAATGGACACAACCAAACCAAAGGGCTGTTCCAAAGCGGGGAGCAGCGCTGACACGGCTGTAGCAGAGTGGGCTCCTGATACTGCCCTGGTGTGTGACACTGGAGATCATGTGAACAATCTAAGTGCAGATAACAGGGTGATCAAGATCACACTAACAAGCTGAGTCTAATCTCTTCGCCATACAGTGCTGAGAGGTCCACCAAAAATTCCTAAACTGTTTCTTTTTATGATAAATTTCAAGTATCCAAATGAGGGGTGGGGGGGAAGAAGCTGATGATGCAAATATCTCTACAGCTTTTTATACAGTTACTGTTCAGTGATCCTGTGAAAATATGGAAATGAGAGATGTAATCTTTTTTGAACTTCGTTTAAAGTCTGCAGTTTCTAATACAAGGTAAACCCTTGGAACTCTCATCTGGAATGAATATTTGCAGCTGTAATATTAATGTTTTACTTTGGCCTTCATCTTATTTCTACAAGTAAAATACCTACTTGCGAGTACTCAAATAGGATGTTTAGTAAGAAGATTTCATCCTGTTCATCAGGCATGGTCCCCTCCAACTTTTTTTTTTTTTTTTGCATCAGCTTAGCTCAACCCAGAGCAAGCTGTACCAGCAGCACAGCTCCAGCTGAGCATGAAAGCATCTCTCCTCTCTCTGCCCCCCTGACTAAAAACATCTGCCAGAAAAAAAAAAAAGCCAAGTGCAGACGAACACTTACTACACCCATGGCTTCAGGTTTTTTAGTGGCCAACAGTACCTGTGAGCAGAAAATACTCTGAAAAGCCCCAAGATAAGCAACCCATCTCCTACCTTCTCCCCATTCTTTGGCTTGCTTTCCTGCGGTGAGGGATGTCATGAATCTGAGAAGGTTATAGAAGCCGAGTACTTAGTATAACCAGTTTTTTAATTACCAAACCAACTCGTTTACAAAGGAAAACAGAACTTTGAAAATATTTAATTATACAGTAAAAACAAATTGTACTCTAAAGAGCTTTCTATGAAGTAAAATGTTTACATTTAATATACTTAAAACTGAGAACTTCAAAAAAACCAAAACTGAATAAACAACACATTTCAAACTTTCTTTGTATTTCTTTCATCTTTCTATTATTCAAAACTGCAGAGGATAAACTGCTTTAAAAGGTGGGGAGTCAGTTGATCGTGTTGTGTACCCAGAGTTAGGGGAAGCAGTTTTCCAAACTTCATCTATTCCCCACCTTGTCTGGGGAGCATGTACTGTCAAACCCATGTAATTGGTGTAATGCATTACAGCAGCAGCACCTTATTGCTTTGAAAGCAACGAATTACTGCAGTTAAGGAGTCATTGCTTTCCTATAAACCACAGAGGTTTTCAGGAGTTCCTTTCTGTCTTGTGTACAACTACATCAAGTGGATTTTTGGAGTTGTGTTTTTTTCCTTTTTTTTTTATCTGAGTGCGCTTTTTTTATTGCTTCATTCCATGGTGCAGTTAACAGTAACAATTAGATTCTTAAGCCTTATGTGCCATACAAAACAGCTGTATAACTTAAGAAATACTCATATATATCTTGCTCTGTTGCTTCTTAAAAAAAAAAAAAAAAAAGAATAATAAAGTAGCAAAGCCCTATAATGCAGAGTGTCCTACCTTAGCCAGTTACACCCAGGCGAGTTGTCATTGCACATCTCAACTCAAGGCTAAGAACAAAGACTGGGAAACAGGTAGAAGGGAGGAAGTTTTGGTTTCAGAGACAGACTAGAGAGGAGTGTTTTTGATGAGTCCTGACTGAAATGGCCCAAAGTTGTTAATAGCGTGCATTGAAACAAGGCTGCACCAACAGCCTCTGGCTTTGCCCCACAGCTTTCTTGGGGGGGGGGGGCGCCAGGATCTGAGCTTTCTTTTAAGCAGTCACTTGCATAGCAGGAAACTGCCAAGATACCTGAGGAAAGAATAGGTAGATGCTTTGGCTCAACATATTTCTACAGTTCCAAATAGCACACACATCACAGCTACACACACACACACACACACACACATCACAGCTACACACACACACACACACACACACACACACACACACACACACACACACCCCCCCCCAGACAGATAACAGTGTGCTCCATTCCTAAAGCAACAGCGGTTTGTCATTTAAAATAGTGCACTTGGAATGAAGTGCAGAGAAGTCCTTACTTACTGTTCATTCTTTTGTGCAGTGATTCATTTACAACAGAGCTGGACTACTTAAAAACTCAAACCTTCCGGTCTTTTAAAATATATCTAACAATGACATAGTCATTAAAAAAATTTTATAGAGTAAATTTGCCTTCAAAGCAAATGGAGTGTGGTGAAAATGTGAAAAATCAATGCATGATCTTGATTTAGGAGAAGAGGATTTTATACGACAGAAGGGAAGAAACCTAAACCTTTCAAGTAAGTGGAGGAAAACTTTACCATTGTTAGGTGAGTCTGAGCTAGAGTGCCCACGTGCAGGTTTCCTTCTTAATTTCTGTTCTGTCAAAACTTACATTTGATTTTCACAGCAAAAATGATTATTTTTCAAACAATTTGAACTCTGAAGTAGCTGAACTTTTAACTCTTCTGAAGAGGCCAGCTTGGACAGCCCGCAAAGGTAAGGAAGATTTAAGTGTTAACAGTTCCCTTTTCCAACAGCATAAAAGTATGTATACAAGGTACCTTTAAGGTATGGAACCCCAAACCCTACTCCCACCTCTCTTATTTATGGGTACCAGTCTTTGGGCTGTAACACATAACCTTAAGATACATCATGCAACGTGCACAGTAACACTCTGAAAGAGAAAGCAGGGACTGCAAAAGGGTAAGTTCCTCCTCTCTACCCCGCCAGCCCCCTGAGAAGCACTACATGCCACCCGCTGCCAGCCTCAGGCCACTGGCTCAGTGGTTATAGCTCTGTAATATGTTCTCAAAGGGGAAAGATTGATAGAGCTCGTCAGCGGGGACACCATCAGTGTCGTAGTACTGGTTATCAGCAATGCTGTTCTGATGGTTGGGCATCGGGTTGGCAGAGAGTCTGGATTCATTTAAAACATCTTGGTCTATAAAACTGTAAACGGCTGGATCGGGTAAGTTAGACTGCGAGTTAAAAGGTGCATTGCCTGGGGGGGCTATGGGAGGGCACGCCGCAGGCACCTGATGGAGCTGCTGCCTGTGGTTGCTCGTGTTTAACACCGGGTTGTACTTCTCAAAGTTGATACTGGTGCAGTTCATGTCATCAGTCTCCATGCTGACGAGGCTGGCCGTGGAGACGCTGATGGGATGGGCCTGGGGCACCACGCTGTTACTAGAAACACTCTGCATCTCGGCGCTCGACCCCACTGCCACTCCCATGCCGTTGGCGCTGCCGAAACTCCGGTAGAAACCGGACTCCTTCTCGTCGGGCCAGTTCAGAGGGGCGTCGTGGAACGGCGGCAGAGTGCCGCTGCCCTGAGCCGAGGGCGGAGGCGCATCCGCTGCCGCGAAGCTGCCGGGCGGGTGGGTGCTAAGCAGGCTGCTGGCCCCTGGGGAGGGGGAGCTGTACAGCGCGGGCCAGCACGAGGAGAGCGGGTCCTGCTTCCCCGGCCCGCCCGATGGCACAGGGGCCATCTGGCTGCACATGGGGTACATCTGACTCGTGTTGGCCAGGGCTCCGAGCCCCGGCAGCAGCAGCGGGGATGAAAACATGTTTGGTTCTAGCGAAAGGGAAGAAAGACGCATTTTAATGATGTTTCTTTACAAGTTTTAAAATTACTAGCAGTAAAATGCCAGACAAAACCAGTGCTATTTTAGTAAGATTAGATACGCAAGTATGAAAGTGCAAATGCACAAGTACTCTCCAGGCTGGACCCCTGTAGTGCTTGTGCCTGCTAAGAGGCCCCAAAACAAAGTTGACATCTAGATGAACCTCACAACTAAACATTATATATTATTAGTACCTGTTAATTAGTAAAATCTGTATTACTATGAGCATTAATTATTAGTACCTGATCATTAACAAAATATGTATGCTCACTAGTGAAAAACTCGGACAAAATGTAGTTAGTAGTGAGGCTGAAATGCTGTGAGAACGTGTATCCAACGTTCCTTGTTTAGCCTTGTTCTAGGCTGAGAACCCAAGGGTTTGGCCTTGTTAGAAACTCCCTCGGTTCTCCCCCCTGAGCCCTGGCCAGGCTTTGGCTCGTATCCAACAGGGGGACAAAACCACATGTTTCCACTTAAAACAAAGATGCCAGTTATTCTGGCTTGCTGATTTTTGGTACATAAGGCTGGACCCTCTTGCCACGACTTTGGATGCTTCACCTATTGGTAAGTGCACCTCGTAGGATTTCCCACTTGCCAGGAAAGACTCAAATCCTTGCTGCAGCTGGGGCTGACAGCGCCTGCGGGTCTGGGTGTTGGTAACATATGCAAGTGGTGAGGGATCTGAAATCACTATTTTCCCTGTCGTGTAGTAATGATTAGGTGCCTTGAATTGCTTAACAGTATGTAGTAACAATTAAGTGTACTATTCTGTATTTTTCTTACTGCTTATTTTCTGTAGTAACTAGTTATATCCTTTGATTAACAGATCAGCCTACTCTTTTCACTCTAGTGTCTGAGTTGAACTGGCATCCTTGATCAGCAGAACAACCCCAGGTTTCTGGACAGCAGCAAGACAACTACCCACCTCACCCCACTATGGCAAATGCTGAAGGTGACAGTGACATTTAGGTAAAGAACTGATGGGTTTCATTTGTGTAGTCACAAGTACCAGCATCTTAAAGGAAGAAACCCTCAAGAGAACATCAGAATTTCAAGCAAAGAGGAGGAAAGGCCGGCAACTGCGTGTACATTTGAAGGGCTGAGTATCTGAACACAGAGAAAAATCAGCAGTTATCTAAATGAAGGCTGAAAGCTAGCAATGCTTCAAGAGGAAAGTGGTGTAGCCATCTCCTGTGCAAAGGGGCACGTGAGAGGCTCTGAGAAGGATCTGGAGGAGGAAAAGTAAGAGGCAGGTACTACTGCTGCCTTGGGAACTTCAGTCCTCACTGAAAAAGCTCCAGCCCTTCCCTACAGCAGTCAGACATTTACTTGTTTCAAACCACTCATGGGTTGCAGGCGGAAACCCACCTTTCTTAATCAGCTTCCCTTCAGGAGTGACAGCGGGGAACGGAGCTACTTTGGGCCTCTCTGTGGCATTTGGTCCTGCAACAGAAGAAAGCATGAACATACACTGAATATTTGATTTTGTACAAATAACTCCATCTGAATTTAAGTTTACTCAAACAAGAAAATGACAAATATTTTCCTTACCACAGTCCTGTATGAGCTTTTGCCAAGCCAATGTTGATCTTTGCCTTTTTGCTTTGTTGCCATATGGATCTACAGAGAAAGGAGTGGAAGGGAAAAGCATTATATTTCTCCTGGGTATAATTAGCAAAGGAGCTTTCTAAAACTTACAGTAGTGGCACCTAATTGTTGTAAGATATATTTAAAGAAAATATTTCAGACAGGACAGCACTGACAAACCGAGACACTGTTATTAATGGTAATTGTTAATCTTTTCATTCAGAGAGGGAACAAACTGACTATTGTTACTTGTAAAAAACAAAGAATCTACTTGTAGAAGTAGCATTGTAGAGTTTTCACTAAATAAGCTACTGATTATTATCAACACGAGTTCTGCACTGATGATGGCTTTTCAGAAACTCAGCTAATTGGAACAGTACCTTTTTCATCTGGGAGGTATCTGAAATCCATAGGTTCGCTAACTTCCTGGTCTGAAGGTCTTCGCAGCTGCATCTTCACTGTGACGGGCTCGGTGATGTCCTTGAGGAACGGTGGCGTTCTGAACACAATCGCCACTTGACGGTGAACATCAGCTTGTGAGAAAGAGCCTTTGGCCTCCCAGTTGTCCAAGACAAATCTGACTTCTATATCATCTAGTCCATTAGAAACAGAAGGTGCTTGTTAAGCTGAAAAACAACTGAAAACTTGCAGCAGAAAAAAAAGGAGAAAAGGAACAAAGGAAGGAGCCTGACCCAGAATTCAGATGCAAAGTAAATGCCTTGAATTTAAAGGCACCAAGTATCTTTCAGGAGTGGTGAGAGCTCTTGAACCTGAAAGCTCTTCTGCCCAGCTACAAAACCAAACCACTTACACGGGAGTGTGGTGAAGGGCTTCAGCTCCCTGGCTAGAAAGTGGTAGCATCAGCCATTGGGGACAAAGGGAAAGAAAAAACCTGGTCAAGATTACCTTTCTGAACTTTGTCACACAGTAGAAATATTTCGTCTCCTCCTTTTACGCTTCCACAGTTCTTGTTCACACGACAGATTCTCAATTCTGCGGTGTTGGGAGCTCCTGGAAACAAACAGGCAAATCAAGAATTACTGTAACTTGGTTGCTAGTGAAGATGAGGTGCTGGGAGTTAAGGCATACAAAGGGAAGGCAACAGCTGGAGAAGCGTGACAACCCCAAAACCCACAGGGAACAAGTCGCTCCGTACAGGAAATTTATAAGCAGGGCTTGATGTTCCCTGATGCTGCAGCTCTCAGCTGCTCGCCTCCAAACACAAGAAACCCGTGCAGCTGTGCCACTCACTCCCTTAATAACCTACTTCAGACTCTCAGTTTGAGTCAATTCCTGCCCAATCTTTCATGATACTGTACAGGTACGCTTAAAACAGAGCTCCTGGTAACCTCAGGCCAGGCCCCAATTACGCAGTTACTATCTGCAGCTATTACTATTATTACGAGGAAAAGTGGGTGCTACAGCCTCATTTACTACATGACACACACCACTTCATTTGCTGAATGAATCAGAAACTTTGAAGGGACGGGAAACAAAACAAACGCAGAAACAGCACAGGATCATATGACTGATAGTGTCATTGTGCATTTTTCGCAGGAAGGGTAAATTAAGAATCGAAGGCAGCCTAATTTTACCTTTGTTTCACTTCTGTATGTTTGAATGGCACTCAGTGTCCTTTTTACAGGTTTTTAGGAAGGTCTGCTCGGCTTGAGTTTGGTGTTTTGTCTTTTATTTGGCGGGGAGTTTAGAAGGGATGACAAAGGAAAGAAACTCTCCTCTGTCGGCCTCGGCTGAACACTGATCATGGCACCAACCTCAAAGGGAGATGTTCTCCATGGCCTGTCACGCTGTGCCACTTCCCATCTCCCCCCATGCACATCCTTGCCTCCCTGTTGCTTCAACTCCTGCCCAGTGCCTGTTTCTCGCTCCCCAAAAGCACACTCCTGGTAACAAATCCCTAGAAAAACAAGCTTCTCACCCCAAATCACATCACTTTCAACAGGGGCAAAACAACACGTTCTCCCAAACTGCATTTCCCAGAAAGAGTCAACAACTTTATCTGACTCTTCCCAAGAGTTTTCAGCATGGCAAAAGACACACAGTTTAGGAAATTTTGGTTCAAAACCAGTTCACGTGATAAGCAACTGAAAACAGAAGGTGCCTGTAATACTGAGTTTCATACACATACAGTCTCTGCTGATGTGATTGCCTCCGTATTATGTTCATATTATTCTTGCGTATCTCTACTATCCAGAGCAGGTAGAGACTACAAAGTATTAGAAAATGAAGAAAATACTAGCTTTAAAATGTGCGAGCTGATTTTCAGAAAAGCTTTGGATACCTTTTTGCTCCTGAATCTGAACAGATCTGAGAAAGCTTCAAATGCAACAACCTAAGATTTCCAAGCCCATTGTACCATGCAATTTTATCTGAATTTATAACCTCAAACCATACCCAGTTCTGTATGACAGAGCAGGTTTTAAAAGGCTAACATTTCTAAAAGAAATTCAGATCTCAAACTGCTGTTCCAGACAAGAGCGGTATAATTTTTATGACTTGTGGTTGCAGTTTAGACACTGTTTTATTTACACCACTGCTAGGTTACACAGAGGATTTTACATACCTATAGTATAGCAGAAGCTGCCCACGTAAACCCACACTAAAAAACCAAGCTTCCCCACCACACAGCTATCTGTCATTTCAGCAGCTTAGCAAAGACTGACGTCAATCACCATAGCCAAGTAATCATGATTTGGCACATTTCTAAATGGCATCTGAGACATAGCTGCAAATCTTGTACATCAATTTTATCTCAACCCTAATTGCTTTAGTACTACAAGGGTTCTCAGTAACACAATGCACTCAGGTCCAACTTCTAGATAATTCTAGAAGAGACTCTAAAAATATCAAACACACCTGAGTTCACATTCAACATTTTCAATAGGGTTATGCCCACAGCAACACAATTCTAACATCCACTTTATAAAACACAGACCTCATTGTATTCAGTAGCTGCTGCTAAAGTTATGTCTTAAGTATTTAGCATGGAAATACTTTTGCTGCAGAAATAACCCCCCCCTGCCAAAAAGTTTCTAATCATTAAAAGCTCTTCTTCTATTCTCCAAGACAGAAGTCCAGCACTGAGGGCTAAAATCCTCAACTGCAGTGAACTGCCAAAGCCATGCCAAAGTCCCATTTTGTGGAATGTGGAAAATGGCGCCAAGAATGGTTCTGCACCTTCCCAGAGCATGATCAAACGTTACCCTCGTTACCTACCTATACAGTGAAAACAGAAGCCAGCTGAGATACCAAAAGGATCTATCAGCGTTAAGACAGTTTCCGACTGGGATAAATCTCAAGAGAGAGTCCTGTTCCAGAGCCCTCACAAGGCAAAAGCAAGACTCCTCATGGTTACAAAGAGACTTCAGAGGACACCCTTGGAGAACAGATCAGCCTTGCAGCAGCCATCCATCTCGCTACTATTTATTTTAATCACTTGGCACGTCAGGAGCAGGCCTTCCCTTGCTGTGATATGTGTGATACTGCTGTGATATGTGAGCAAGGGCTGAGAAAGCACCTATGCATGAGTCCGTGGCTGTGACGGACTGGTCAACCAATGCTTCACCCTGGGATCATCTTTTGAGTATATGCTCACTGTCTTGCCAGGAGTTAGACATAAATCTAGAAGTCCCAAGCCACAGAAACGACCCCAAAGACTGGCACAGACCTCAGAAACTGACCTGGCATTTTTCAGTCCCAGCAAAAGGGAAAAACAAAAGGGAAATAAACAAGAAATATACAGATAACTGAGTTGGTACTTACTATTGTCATAGATGGGGTTGGAAATCAAAGGAGGAAGAGCTAACGTGTAGTTGCCGTGTTCATCAGGGAGGAAAGCTTGGAAGCAGAGGCGGACGACATTGAGATCATACTCATCAATGTTGTGCAGCTGTTCTTCAGGCACTGAACAGCAGAAGGAAAGACAAGACTGAGGATTAGTCATCAAAACCAGCATCAATTCTTCAAGCAACTGGGGATGAACCTCCACTGGTAGAAGAGATGGTGTTGCCAAGGCAGACAAAACATGCCCATAGTCCCTGCTAGCTTTACAGGGGCTGCATGAACAAATTCCTTGTCCACAGCAAATGATGCAGAGGCCTTTAATGCTTTCCCTTCATCAAACAAGGCTAAATTGTCCTAGTTCTCCAGCTGTTTCTTGTACCTGGTTTCTTCACCTTGACTTCCAGACCATTTTCATGTATCTATAGTTTAAACGTCATTCCCTGGACACGTTTCTCTCTCATTTCTGCATGATAAAATTCACAACATGGATACTGCTGCTGAAGAGAAATCTTTCAGTACAAATAAGTCCTAGGACATAGCTGAAAATTTTCTGCAACAGTGAGACACTCCTGCTATATGGTATTTTCCGCTAGAAACTGAAATGGAAGAATAATCAGAAGACAGTTCTTGGGGCAAGAATGAAGCCGAAACAACACAAGCCATCTCCCCTCTGCCATCAACATCTGTGTCATTTCTATACTTCTGAGAATAGTGATTATCAGTATCATTATGATATAAATTTCGTAACACAACAAGCAAAACCTTGCCAGAAAGGATCCATTTCCATACATATTCCTCCCAGTGTCAAACACAGTACCACACAACCCAAGCCCAGCTATCAGTTTTGTAATTAAACTAAGTGAAAGGGTGAACAAGACATAGGACCTGGGAAATCATTACCCTGTATTTCACGTACTCCCAGCCTAATGGGCGATTCTAGGAAAAGCAGCCCTCTGTGAATTCAATACTTTCCTTTAAGGTCTGACATTCAACTATTATGTTGACATTCAATGCCAGCAAAATGAGAAACTGATTTAATTTCATTTAAGTAGAAGTACTGATAATTAAAATAATTTTGAGTGGCTCTCCTTTCCAAAAGCGTTCGAAGCAGCAGTTCAGCATCCTTAGATACTCCTCGCAATTATCTAAAGTGAACATGCGCCAAGTCAACAGATCACCACCTCTCAAGTTCACTCCTTCCCCTGCCCTTTCACAGGCCTCTTGCAAGAATAAAAGATTAAAGGTGCCCAAGATAAGAAGGCTGGGGATCACACTGTACTGATTAGATTGCAAAGCTCTGACCTTTAACACTACCACTGGGTTGGTCTCCACCCTGCCATGAGTGGGATTACTGCAGTGCCCACTTGAATGATTTCTTCCTTTTACCTTTTGATAGTGTGAAATAATAAATGCACTGGGCTCAGAATACTTTCCACTGGCATTTTTAGTCTTTCTTGTGCTCTGAATATCTCAGTTTCTCCTGGCCTCTGCTGTAAAAAGAAATCGAGTCACCTTTCCCTTTCGCAAGTCCATGATCTGCAATATTTCAAGACAATAACACCAGCAAGCACAAAACTAAGCAGAACTACACACGTAGTATCAGAAATGTTGGTGCCCAAGGCAGTTGTGTCAATGTGTGCTTTTCAGGTCGGTGGCTGACTGTGTTACCAGAGAGCAAAGTTTTATGCTTTACTGCACTTGACTTTTATGATTTTAATGCACTTTAGTTGACCTGCTAACTTAATAAAATAGGATCTTTAGAAAACAAGTTTGGAACACACAGCTGTTCAGTCTAACTCAGGTTTGGTAGCCTAACTGCCTCTTGATAACAGCCTGATTTATAGAATTAAAAAAAAAAAAAAAGAAAAATAAAAAGAAAAGAAAAGAAAACAACACATTCTCTAAACTGCACCTTGTGGAAGGGATTGTCAGGAGTGCAATGCTGCTTTGCTCCCAGCAGCTCAGGTGAGTCTAAGCCATGCTTTGCCACCACTGCCAGCAAGCAAGTAGCTCTCAAGGAGGCTCTGGCACCAAGGTGGCTTACACTCATGTGTTGTATTAGCCATCGGTGACCAGATGGATCTGCCCAGAGAGCCCAAGCAGCAAATTTCCAACCTCTTCAAAATGAAACTGAGCAGAGAAATTCAATACTTTTGTCTAAGTCAACTCCCTGTAGATGGAAGCCAAGCACAAAATCTGGATCTGGATTTTGATTCTGAATCAAAGGCATGGGCTTTGTGGTTGTGCAATCAAGTCTCTCTCATACATAAAAAGCAGCACTAGTCCTGCGCCGTGTTCTCCACAGGCACAGCAGCCTCTTCCCCGGAAACAACAGGCTTAAAGCTTAAGAGAACTCTATAGATACAAAAAACCCACAATAGATAGGGAGAAAATTAGTAATGTTCAAATTGCATCACTTCCTATACTAGGAACTTCTGCAAATTCCCAGTAAGTCTGTTTAACCACCTGACATGGGAAAGGTGTGATGTGCCAATAATCACAAGAAACAAAATTGCTCTTTACAGCTCATTGTACTACAGAAAAAAAAAAATTGCTCCTAATTGTCATTTTCTTATAAATTATTTAATACAATTTTTAAAAATCTGTAGTTTGAAAGAGGAAGTGCTCAGTCAAGACTGATTTCTCTTGGGCTATTTTTAACCAGATGAGAAGAACATAACAGAGCGAAAAAGGAGAACAAGACAGCTGCAACCCCATCTTGTGATGACATGCTTAAAAAATAAAATACATAAGAGGCTAGATTCCGTGTTCATATACATGTACAGCTTTCATCAATTTCTAAACATATTACATTCCCACCTAAAAGATGATCATCCAAACAAAATAAAATGGTTTTTTAACAAACATTTAATTCTGCTCCCTCTGAAGTCAATTTGAGAGTAGCCACTAACTTGAACAGATGCTGGTGTGCACCTTAAGAATATTAAAAACAAACAAAAAGGAGGTAAACAAACACGCTGACTAATGCCTGGAGTACAGCTGCACAGAGGATGGTCGTGTCATTCCGTGTTATTTCACTGACTTCTGTACAGGAGAACAACAGGCAGGGTTAAACTTGACAAACCTGAAATTATTAAAGTTAAGAAATGCCGTTGAAGATTTTGGGACCAGAAAGGACTGGAGAAGAAGAGTAACCATCAACCTGTGCGAGCTCCACATGAGCAGCTTTACTGGAACCAGTGACATTACACACGTGAAGTAAAAAACACTGCATGATGCAGCACGTTGGGAGCAGGTTGGGTAAAAAAGGCTCAAACGCCACACATGAATAAAAGGAAGTAGTACTATGTTTTTGGCAAGACTTCAACTTCCTCTTCTGACTGCTTCTCGCTGTGTGGTACCACACCTTACTGTCTTCATATGAATCCAACTGAAAGAGCTGGAAGCCAACCAACAATCTCAGTATGCTTCTGCGATGGCCCAATCTAATAAAAAACTAGCTTTAACCTGGCAGAAATTCGTTTTCTGTAGTTATCTATGCAAACAGGACTAGATGGAGGAATGTTCGTAAGCACAGCTCTTATAAGGGGAAGGAAAGATTTCAAAAGCAACATTTCGCAACTCAAACACATAGAAATTAAAATAATATTTTAAAACAATTAAAATTCTAAAGGTAAACATGGGGCGTGATGCCAAAAAATCCATTAAAATACCACCAGCACAAGGGTAAAAGAAAAACTAAACCCCACTTACCAAGACTCTGGCAATAGGATTTAAAAAGCAGTATCTAGAGGTACAGTCAATCCTGGGGAGCATTAGCTGTTCAACCTGAAAGGCTCTACAATAACTAGGAAATCCTTTCTTTATAAATCTTTTTACAACTCTCCTGAAAGAAATGCTTATTCCCCAACTTAAAAAATAATTACCCTTTGAAATAATTCTCTAATGATTATCTACTGTCACGGGAAGAGACTGATCTAATCCCAGTGTGGGCACAAAAACATCCCATGCAAGCTAAACCTTGAACTCCTTCCACCCTGAGCTAGAGAATCTCAACAGCTCACATAAAACACAGGCATTAGGTTCAGGTTGTCCCCGTCTCAAAGACTGATGTCACTAAAGTCCAGAGATGCCCTGCTGAGTTTCTACTGAATGAGAGAACTTCCTGGATTTCCTTCCGTAACAAAAAATTGGAAACTTTCTGGGTCCAACCCACCAAGTGCAATTACAAGTTTGGGCACAAAATTAAAGATGCCAATAGCATCAGGCCTCCTTGTTTGTTCCTATTTATTAATTTCTAATGGTTTTTAGTATTTCAAGTCTTCAACATCCAGAAAGGCCAATAAAATACCATTTATCTGATTAAATTACTAGGGGATAAAGTGCTCTGATGTTTACTCATAAGGTGATACTACAGGGAAAGTGAAAGTTTACTCTGAACACTGAAGAGAAGTGATGAAGCATTTGGGTTTTTTAACTGATAATGTGATACCTGATTAAACAGCAGAGTCCTCACACACAGCCCTCCAACCGACTTCTAAACTAATGATATCAGAAATTTCTGCAGTGGGTGGGAGTTGGAGGCACTTCAGCGTCTCAACTTAACCTGCATGGAAACTTCCAGGGCAAATGATGTGGTGTGACACATTCAGAGAGGGCTGCGCTGAGAACAATCAGTTCACCCTGCAAAGGGACATATGGTGACCTTCCCTTCTCAACGAGGGGCTGTGGGGCCACGCCAGGTCTCACACGAAGAGAATGACCTCTCACAAACAAAAACACTTCACCACGGAGACCGCTCGGAACGCACATCCTTAATAATCACCATGAGCTGTGTTCTGCCGTTTCTCTTACGCAGATGATGGTTTTTAATTTAGGGATATGCTGGGAGCTCGGTTTCATTTAGGTGATGACACAGAGGTGGTTTGCCTCAAGTGTTTTGCTCCTGGAGCACAAAGGTTCCCCTTTAGCCCTTATAGCGACCAATCAGTTTAACTTGGTCTATGTCAGGAGTTTTGCTGTAAAAGGCTGGCTCTGCCCAACCTTCATTTCCGGCACTACTTTTATACAGGGAGTAGCTCTCATGTGGTAAATCAGATCAAGGAACTGGTCTTGCTCAAAAGTAACTTGCCAGAAGAAAAGAGGAAAAGGCTTGTTTT